ATATTTATAAGATTTTTTTTCTATCTTGCAACACTATTCGTTTACTACATTTTTTAATGTCATATCATGTACCTATTCAAAAGGAACTTATAATGAGAAATCAAAGTCTCAAAAGTTATAAACAATCATTTAACATTTTACATTAGAAAAATCTTTTCCTTTATTGTTTAACAACCTTGCTTACTTCAGGCTACATGAATGTTTCACTACGTATAAGTTCATACAATCTTACTTAAATTTAATTTCAATGATTGCCATGATTTTTAAAGTCACTATATTTTTATTCATAAAAGTTTGTTGTCCGTCGTCATCAGCCTATCAGAGCCCACTGCTGAGCAAAAGCCTCTTTCTCACATGGAGAAGGTTTGAGCATTAATCACCACGCTTACTCAAAACTTATAATTATGAAATTATAAGTCCAGGTTTCCTCACGATGTTTTCCTTCACCGACTGTCAATGGCATCTAAATACTCTTAGAAAGTACATATGACTCGGAAAAATCACATTGGTACTTGCCAGGATCGAACCCGCGTCCTTGTGCACGAGAGGCGGGCCGTTTAACCACTAGGCCATCACTGACGTTTTTTTGTTGTCCATATCCTTTAAATTTCTCTTGACTTTTCTGAAGTAGAAAAACAAAATACTCTGTTATATATAGATAATTTATAAGTATCGAACATTTTTTTTTTTTATGTGAAAGGTGGCAAACGAGCCGACGGCCCACTTGATGGAAGGTGGTTACCGTCGCCCATAGACATCCGCAACATCTTTGTTACGGATGCGTTGCCAACCTTGTTTTTTAGGGATAGGGAGGGGCGGGAATAAGGAAATGGTAGGAAAGGGTGGGAATAGGGAAAGGGCAACCGGCTCTCTCACTCATCGAACGAAACGCAGCCAGTAAAGGCGACTTCACGCCGATCTTCTGTGAGAGGGTGGTACTTTCCCGGTCGAGCCAGCCCATGTTCGAGCTGTAGTAACTGACTACAGCTAGGCTCTACCACCTATAAAACTAAAAAATAATTTAACAAACCTACCCATAGTCTCTTTGTCCTTTTATTATTTTGTCGAATAAAAACATTCGTAAAATAAGTTATTAATATTATATTCTTTGTATTTGAACCCCAGAGAAGAGAAGATTGATTCTATGTATGCATTTTTTTATTATTTGCTTCTACGCAAAAAATGTACGAAATAGTAAGAAATCTAAGACATTTTATTGTGTAAATCATAAGTCGGTAATGTATTAATCTCTTAAAATTAGTTTCTCATTAATGCAATTTAAGTTTAATATATACTCATAAAAATCTTTATTTGAAGTAAAAGAAAGAGTTTTTCTCATAGTACTTACATTATACTTTAAATACCATGTTAATAAAAAATAATATTTCATAGAATAATTTATTATTGAAATAAAATAAAATATTACTTTAAATTTTTGTAACAATTTTATGACTTAAAATATTTTTTCTAGTGGAACCAAAAATGTCTAATTGCCTCGTACCATGATAATTAAAGATAAGTTGTACATGAAAATAATATTACGGATATCTTATAACGAGATTATTAGAGCTGATAATAATTCTGGTCTGTCCAAAAATAATTTGAAAGCAATTATAATATGTTTGTTTTATCTTTTTGTAATTACTTACATTGTGTACACCTTGACTAAGTAAAAATATTTTGTATTATAATACAATATATAGAGATACAGTGCAATAGTATTTTTAGGAAGAATATATACTTTATAAATCTTTTTTATAAGAATAAATCTTTTTATTTTTAAATTATTTTTTCATTTTTGGAAACAAATATATTTATCACTGGTATATTGCAACTACTCATAACTAAAATTTAAGACCGCACATAAGCTAATTTAAAAATTTTCAATAAATTATTTGGCTTCATAATTTTAAAGGAAAAAAATTATAATAACAGCCCCGACAAAAAATATTTTTAATGTTTGATATATGAAATAATGGGTAATACAACAATGTCTATTTAACCGAAAAATTTACTTTCAGCCTTTTGAGAGAAGTTATAGAATTTAGACATATTTAGTCTATTGTCGATGCTGCAACGGAATAACCATTCTTGGAAAACAATTTAATTGGTAAAAGCAACTGGAACGCAGACAATCAGGATCTTGCAGATTCGAATCCCTGTCGTATTGTTGGATTTCGTAGTTAAATTATAAACTTGAACTTTTATATGTACTATTAAACATAAACACAACACACACGTATACATAAAAAAATACTTTTCTCTGGAGTAGCAAAAACCAAATCAAAAATTTCCTGAATTTATCTAAAGCAGAGAAACCATTGACATTTTTTTTTATTGATAATAATAATTATTTATAATCCAACTAATGTATTTGAAAACTTTAATGTTTAGAGAATAAAAATTGTCTTTGCAAGACTAATTAAACAGTTTTAGTTAATCCTATAGTTAATGTAAACCCATATTTTATATACTACATCTCGTCTGCCCGTGACGAGATGTGAGAATGGTTGCTGTAAAGTGGCCGAAATATCGGGACTATGTAGTTTATCGTCAAAAATAAAAACGCGTAGTCAATCCGAAAATATTAGTTTCATTTAGTTCCACAGTTTTCTTACGTGAACTCATTGGGAATCCTGAAACATGATAGGCGTCGTATAAACATTGAATATTTTTTAAGTTCCAATCGAATCGGTAAAACAATGACGAATAAAGACATTAAATTTTATTGTTATATTATCAACATGTTATTATCATAGTATGTAATTGTTTTATAAGTTCTCATATAAATTTAATTAACAGTATGTTTAAATAAAATTTATTTATGTTTATAATCAAAAATATTTGAATCTAGAAAAAAAACATATAAGTAGAGTTTTACTTGGAAAGAACATATAAAATGAAAATTGGTTATATATCATATTATTATTATATTCTGTTTGCTGTCACGAATTCTTTTACTTTTAATGAATGTAAATATTCTTTTTTATATTTAGTATATTAAGTTTGATGATCTACTGGTTTTCCCACTGTATTGATTCTTCGTTACATAAATAATAACTCTCCTTATCCAACATTTAACAAGGACGTTTAATATACATATTTACATTTTTAGATTGCTATTCTGCTTTCAACTTTTCTGATATAAATTTAATAAAAAGTATCTCAGTCTGTCACCCACCAAATTGCCAGCCACATTGAATTAAAATTAATATTTTTTTATTTAATTAGAAATTGTAACTCCAAAAAATAATTATAAAATTATCACAAACATATCATTGAGTTTTTGATTGTATTAAAATAAGATAATTAACACCTTATACCCTGATTATTCAATCGAAAATTCGGATACGATTCTGTTTATCGTTTTACAGATTCGCTGAATGGTATCTTATCCATATTAATATCAATTACCAAACAGCAGGAAAGCCAAATAAATAGTTTGAATTTGATTGTATGGATGAGTACGGTGCGTTATGTATAAATTATTTTTTTTGTTCGTGCTAGTTTGTAAGTGCCTTGCTAGTGAGAATTGTGTGACATACAATTTCGAAAATGGGAGTGAAAACTTCACAAATAACAGAGAAGTTTGTAATGGAGAGGACATGTGGTACATTGGGAATTACTCGGAAGTCTCCATCGATCCCTTACATCCTCAGAGCACAAGATTCGCTTCACCACTCCTACAATTCAGCTGCATGGCATCTCCTATGTTCCAAATGGAAGTTGGGGGAACTGTAGAAATAAATTTTTATGTTAAACCAAATACGCAACAGGTGAACATAGTTATATTTATTATGGAGTACTCAGAAAATGAAGGAGACGCTGCTGTAACTACAGACATAATTCCTTATGTTGAGGGTTGGCAAACTGTAAATTTCCCTATTTCGGGATTGCAATCGTTTCTGGGATATGTAAGTAAATTTCTAATATATGTAAATTATTTCAATTTAAAGGAAGGTCTCCTCGAAATAACAAAATCTTTGTAACAATATCTTTGAATGAAAAGTGACAAAAATAGTAAGTGAAACGTAATTGTAAAAATAGAAATGAAATCAGTTATCTATTTAAACTGCACAAAATTTTTGCTTCATTAGAGCATGGCAGGCTAATTTGGTACAAAATAAAATAAATTGTATATGAATGAATTGCAACTATGCTATAATTACATAAATATTTACTAACCAACCTCACGTCCAGTGTATAGTTGCACTCACGGTATTTGTCACGCCACATAGACTTATAAACACAGAAGTTTAAATTCATAAACCTTAAACGGAGATTGTAACTTAATTAGATAACAAATTTAAACACTGAACTTCTCTATTTTTCTACTCTTTCTATTTGAAAGGCCTGACGAACGTTTCAAGAGTTTTTTTATTTACGGATTTAAGACATTAATAAATTTATAAATAACCAATTCTTAGGGAACAAATAATAGGTTTACTAAATAAAGTGAACAAAATTTACTCGTAAGAATTCATAAATAGTAAAATATTTATTTATTTAAGATATCATTATACTTGAAACGGCACAAATAGTAGTCTAGTTAATATTTAATACTACTAGTCATAGACATACATTAATCTAATTAGTAAGTAAGCTTTATTCACCGATCAACTTCAATTACGTAAACAAAATTAAAGAAAGACTACATAATAAATTAACGGAATTACAGAGAAAAAACTTGCTTACATACATAAAGAAGTATTCATATATGTACAAAAAAAATTAACCAAATATAACATAGTAATAATTTTAAAATAATATGTTTGCCAAAATATAAAATTAAAAGTAATGATCTTTTTATTATTACAGGTAGCATTTTCTGGACAAACTGAACCCAATTCATTTTTCATGGATTCTCTTCGTTACTTTGGACCAAATACTGACAAAGAGGAATGTGTCATTTATGAAGACGATACACAAACAACATCCAGTATAAGCCCCACCGAAGCTACAACAACTACTACAACAATGGTTCCTACAACCTTGCCCACTCAGACTCCTAGTACTTCAACTGAAACTCCTACTACTACTACCACTCCGATAACTACTACAACGACTCCTTCTCCAACAGATTTTCCTACGACTTCTTCTACCGAAACGTCTACATCTTCACCTACTTCTACTGATGTACCTACTACAACTCCGATAACTACTACAACTACTCCTTCTCCAACAGATTTTCCTACGACTTCTTCTACCGAAACGTCTACATCTTCACCTACTTCTACTGATGTACCTACTACTACTCCGATAACTACTACAACTACTCCTTCTCCAACAGATTTTCCTACGACTTCTTCTACCGAAACGTCTACATCTTCACCTACTTCTACTGATGTACCTACTACCACGCCGATAACTACTACAACTACTCCTTCTCCAACAGATTTTCCTACGACTTCTTCTACCGAAACGTCTACATCTTCACCTACTTCTACTGATGTACCTACTACTACTCCGATAACTACTACAACTACTCCTTCTCCAACAGATTTTTCTTCTACCGAAACGTCTACATCTTCACCTACTTCTACTGATGTACCTACTACCACTCCGATAACTACTACAACTACTCCTTCTCCAACAGATTTTCCTACGACTTCTTCTACCGAAACATCCACATCTTCACCTACTTCTACTGATGTACCTACTACCACTCCGATAACTACTACAACTACTCCTTCTCCAACAGATTTTCCTACGACTTCTTCTACCGAAACGTCCACATCTTCACCTACTTCTACTGATGTACCTACTACCACTCCGATAACTACTACAACTACTCCTTCTCCAACAGATTTTCCTACGACTTCTTCTACCGAAACGTCCACATCTTCACCTACTTCTACTGATGTACCTACTACCACTCCGATAACTACTACAACTACTCCTTCTCCAACAGATTTTCCTACGACTTCTTCTACCGAAACGTCCACATCTTCACCTACTTCTACTGATGTACCTACTACCACTCCGATAACTACTACAACTACTCCTTCTCCAACAGATTTTCCTACGACTTCTTCTACCGAAACGTCCACATCTTCACCTACTTCTACTGATGTACCTACTACCACTCCGATAACTACTACAACTACTCCTTCTCCAACAGATTTTCCTACGACTTCTTCTACCGAAACGTCCACATCTTCACCTACTTCTACTGATGTACCTACTACCACTCCGATAACTACTACAACTACTCCTTCTCCAACAGATTTTCCTACGACTTCTTCTACCGAAACGTCTACATCCTCACCCACATCTACTGATATATTTACTACCACTACGATAACTACTACAACTACTCCTTCTCCAACAGATTTTTCTACAACTGCTTCTACCGAAACATCTACATCATCACCTACTACTACAATAAGTACTACAACTACAACTTTTCCAAGTGAAAGTACTACAACTGAAATTTCTTCTTCTACTCCCACTACTGAAATGTCAGATATAACCACCAGCGGATCTACTATTCAGCCTACTAAATCAACGATGACTACCCTTACCTCTACTGCGACTCTCCCTACCATAACTTTACCAACTTTTCCAAGTGAAAGTACTACAACTGTGATTTCTTCTTCTACTACCACTACTGACATTCCAAATACTTCAACGACTGACACTACTTTTATGCCTACTACAAGTGAGATTCCTACATTAACCCCTACTGAAATGTCAGATATAACGACCAGCGGATCTACTATTCAGCCTACTGAATCTACGATGACTACCCTTACCTCTACTTCAACTCTCCCTACCACAATATTACCAACGGAAGCATCTCCGACAACCCTAACGGATACCCCTACTACTCTTCCTACTATTCCTACTATTCCTACTATTCCCACTATTCCTACTATTCCTACTATTCCTACTATTCCTACTATTCCCACTGAAAATACGAGTACTGAATCTACTTCTACTGAGCCTTCTACAACAAACAGCCCATTACCAGATCCTACAGTAGAAAATTCATTCTGGAATGCATTTACAATATCAATGGTTACTATTTTAACTTTGATTGTTATTTGTTTGATCGCCTTTATATTTTATAGAGTGGGTAAAAGTAGGAATAAGTCAGATATTTCTCATATATTATTTACTGACGCCGATGATCTGCCAAAGCCTATAACTGTGCCAAGGGTTACTGGTGTTTACTCAAATCCTACTAATAAGAATTTTTATTACCCTTAATATAAGGCGCCTTTTAAGTAAAATAAGTGTAAACTTATATTATTTTACTAAATTATTTATTGTTTAATATGTCGATCTAATGTGATACAAAAGTATTATACGTATATATTTTATGATTAATATCTTAAATCTTAGTATAAGTTATTATTTTTATAAATTTTATTACCTAAATATAAAAAAAAAATTATTTAGCATATAAACATACATAAGTACAAACATTAATAAATGAAAATTACCAGTATTATAAAAGGTTTTTTTATTTTCATACAAAAAACAGATATAACATATTATTTTACCTCGTATTGAATGCTATTTTGAATCACAGATTTAATTTCTTCTAAATTGTCTATTGCTTTCTTTACAACTACCCTATAATTTTTTTCTCTACAATCATTTATTGTCAACTTTAAGAGTACTTCATATTTCCCTGAATAGAAAAAAATAGCTCCTCCTTACGCAGAAATCGATAAATTATAAATAAGTAATGATATTTTATAAATATAGATAAGAACGTGTGTACTAGTTGTGTCATAATTATTGATAATTGAAGAATTTGTTCATTACCTGATAAAATATCTATAATCGTTATGATCTTTTCACAAGAAGCGTTCTGACGTTTTTTCTATTTTTAAGTATGATTTTATTGTAAAAGATTCCTTCTTTATTACTTTTATTAAATTACTTTGACTTATATAACACATTCAATAATTTTTATATGGAAAGACAAACAAATTAAAACTTGTTTGTCATTGATAACATCGTATGGGAACAAAAATTCAATTTTCTTTAGTATCCCTAGCATTAAAAATTCTTAATTGTGACGGTCAATATTCATTAAAAAAAATACCCATAGTGCTAATGATTCTTCAGAATTAAATTTACATTTGTGTGACGGTAGATCTACGTCAAAAATTCCTATCATTGCTCACTGTTATTGGCAGGCTATGTTCATGAATTTAAAACATTTTCACACATATTTATACTAGGTCGCTGCTTAGATTAGTTATTTCAGAAACATTTAAATAGGTACGTTTATAACATTCTTGTAGTGATAATGAATCAGGAGCACGTGGTTGGTAATCGAACTGGCCATAAAATTCCTTAATTCGGTTTTTCAGTCTTCGATGAAATAGAATTTTTGTTCTTTGCTCGCCTTTATACCCTTCATTTCAATATCGGCAATAACTGGTGAGAGTAAGAGATCATTGTTACTGTCTCTGCTTGCGTATAGAATTAGTCTTTCACATTAAAATGATATGTTAAGCAGTATACTTTGGTACTTAAAACAAAGTTTTTAAAAACATTATGTTTAAATCTAAACAACGAGATTGATCACATTTAAAACTAAACTAATATGTTTTTACAAATATCAAATTCAGTTTAAAATTCTATTATATATTTCGTGAGCTCTAAGTTTTTCTTTTTTTCTTCTTTGCAGCTCTTTACTAGTTTTAAGAACCTATCAACATTCAAACTACTTAAATCTTTATTTATTAATGTAGCAATGTTTTCAATAATATTTTTAAATACATATAATGAAAAGGTAGGAGAACCATTATGTCCACACAATTTAAGGTACTTCACCTTACAACAAAATTTTATTAAATTAGAAAAAATCAACCGACCTACGAAGACAAATTTGATAATTTTGCAATTTATGTCATGTGTTCTGAAGAGTCCCGTTATAATCTAGAATATCGTCCAAATAAAATGTAATTTGTGTTTTGTTTGCTAGTTTTGTCTCAGTGTTTTAAGTGGGACTATCTAGTCAGAAAAAATCTTCCTAATTTTTACCTTGTATGCCCCTTATATCATATAAATATAGTTCGTCATAGACATATATTTGTTAGTGATATAGAATTTTCTTGTTAAAAACTTATCGAACCTGAGTGATGTTATCGTTAAAAGGTTAGTTTGAGGAGCGGCAAGTGAACTGAATAAACTAGTTGTCCAAATAACGAATACTTTGACATAAATTGCCTAAACAGACATTTATTTTTGTAGATGACTCTTTCAGTTTTAATTTTACTGACTGAAGTCCACATGGACTCAACATCTTCTCAATTTATCTTTGTATATTGTAAGATGTAAGTATATAAATAATATGGTAAGTATAAATAAAAAAAAAGTATAACATTAACGGCTATTCTTTACCTGTATACGATATATAACTATGACGAAACGTATTGTTGAATCTCAAAGTATTTTAAGTGTGTTATTTTAAAAGTTTTCGGTATCTTTTTCATTAATTTTATGAGTAGATATGTTACAATTCTCAATATAAGCTAATTATTTGTACTAGGTGTTATTATAAAAAAATACAATATGCTCTATAATCGTAAAAAATATAAACCAATGCTCTGACACCAACTTATTTTTTAATTTTGCCTTTAATAAAATATATAACATCATCACATCATCAGCCTATCAGCCTATCAGAGCCCACTGCTGAGTAAACGCCTCTTCTCTCATGGGGAAGATTTAAGCATTAATCACCATACTTGCTACAGACGAGTTGACGATTTCAAACTTATAATTTGGAATTATTAATTCAAGGTTTCCTGTGATGTTCTCCTTCACCGTCTGTCAGTGGTGTCTAAATACTTTTAGAAAGTACATATGACTCGGAAAAACCACATTATTACTTGCCTGGTTGCGAACCACTACCTTATGCATGAGAGGCGGGCCTTTAACCTCTAGGCCATCACGACTTAAATGTAAAATATATATATAAGGATTTTATTTAAGTACTAATAATAGGTTCGGCGGACTCTTCCTTTAAATAAAACATCTATTATTGCCACTGCACCTATATCAATAACGAAAACATAACGAAAAAAAGCTGAATCATAAACTATACTTGTGTAGGTACTGTTACCATTTATCCAATTTATTTTTTCTTTAATCCATTTCTTTGTTTTTAACCTTAAAATTACTTTTTTCATGTAGAAAAAAAAAACAAGGGATCAAATCAAAAATATGGATTTCCAACTACTTCTGTAAATTTTTTACAATTATTAAATATTAAAACAAACTTATTGACATAATCATATCAAGTAATCTCCATTTTCCTGTATGAAAAAAATATCTTCAGTGATTGTAAAATATTTTGTTAATCTGTAAAGTATCTTTGAAAAACGAAGTCTTTAATTAAGTTTCTTTAAAGACAGTCTTTTGTCTTCTTCTAAAAAGCACAATTAATCTTCAATGTAATTTAAATGAGCCGCTAATTGCCTATAAAGTTTAAATAAAACTATGCTTTTGAATTTTAACTCGGATATTGGATTACATTTTCACATTATACCAACGCGTTAAATAACTCGGTCAAGAGACTTCAATTTTATTTATATTACTAGTGAAATTCATTTGAACTATGAATATTTTTCCAAAATATTGCGTTCGAAATACTGCTGGAAGTATTTCTAACGCGTTATATACTTGTGATAATTTTAACACAACAAAGCATTACCTCTTTAAAATCAAAAAAATACTTATCACAGTCTAAAGATTTCCATGGAGGGCCAGATTCCACTCCAGGGTTAAATCACAAGTCATACTGATACATAGAGCCAAATCTTTATAAGCAACAAGAAACATTATACATATGTAAATTACCGACATTATATGTAATATTAATGTAATATTAGGTATTCTATTACCTTATATTTATTACATATATTAAATATCTATACTTTTTATTTCGTCTGGACAGTGTTTGACTATCGTTCCACTCGTTATAAGGTGTAAAATGATGTTGTAGGTTTGACCCTTTTCTTAATAATACCCAAATAATAAGTTTTCGGAAACAGAGGCGGGACAAAATTGTTGCCATTCTTTGATGTCCTAATCAAGTAGAAGGAAACGCATCGCTTCATTCGGATACGAAGAAGGTCTACAACAAAAGGATGGAGGTCTTTATGACGTTGTCTTATAATAAAAAAGAAGTTCAAGGATTAAAATTTTCAATTTCTATGCATTTCCCATAGAAAATCTATACATATAAATAAATTAGAGTAATTGTTTGTAACATCGCAATACGTAACAACTGTTTTTACTATATGCTTATGAGTATGTATATCGTAAGTAAACCAAAATATATTTAAAATTTTTGTCTCTCTGTCTGTTTGTTTCGGTTAATCTTTGAAATGACTGGACCAAATTCGAGGCAATTTTGATTGACCGATAGCTGATTTTTATCGAGATTCCAAGATTAAGGCTTGTCTGGCGCGTGAGTCATGGGTAACAGCTATAATAAATATAAAAAGACAAAAACATAATCATTTTGAGTTTATGGCTAAACTTTGCTAAAATAATTTAGTAAATATTTCCTTGCATTTAGTATGAGTATTTATAACATAACTTACAAAAACAAAACAGTGTCATCAAAGCATATTATTATATACTTTTTTACCTCTACATAAAATAATGGTATTCTTAAAAATTTTAAATATTACAAATTATGCTCCTCGTCGTCTTTGCTCTATTACACGTAATATAAGGCTTAAAATAAGCAGTTTTATTTAATAAAGTTATTGTTACTTATTTGGTTTTATTTGTAATAATAATAACTCGTTCTTTCAATAAAATATACCTATAATACGAGCAGAGCGGGGGCCATAAAAACTTCTGCAATAATCTGCAGTTGTTCTATAATATTTAACTCCTTGGCTAATTTAGTAAGCAATTATGCGTTCGGGATGAATCGTTTAAAAAGGCGTTTCATAATTTATCACTAAGTAATTTCTAATAGCAATAATTATTTTTTCATTTTTATTATAATGTGGTAACTTTATATGTACATCGGATTTATTACAAATTCGTTGTTTATAAAGAGGGTGACGCCATCATCGCCGACGTCACTAATGTCACTTCTTTCAGTAAGTTCCATGATATTTTAAAATGAAACTGCAATTGTTCTTAATGTCCTTGTACATATTTCTCGAATGTTCTTCATAATCATAATCTTCGATAGTCCGCACTCACTGAACTCTGTCGCCCTGCGGTCAGACGTCATATTTATACTAAAGTTCAAACATAGTTCTATTCTCCTCTTAAACAATCTTTAATTTCGTTTTACTATTAACAATAATCATAAATACTAATGAGTTCTAATAAGAATTGATGATAGACTCAAGTTATTTTCATGTCGCATCCTTGATGTTACAAATTTTTTACTCTACAATGAAAATCTTAGTGGTTATTGAAGGTTTTTATACATATATATTTGTAACTTTTAAAGTCTTAAATTAGAGATTACCTTTATAAAGAACAGCTATTGTAAACAATCGACCTCATTTACTTCGTCCGTTCTCACGACTCGTAATAGTCAAGAGGTTACTCCAAGCATCTTGCCTGATATACAAATAAATAAGTTTCAGTACAAATTCAAATAAAATTTGTGCTTTCAGTATAGTAATAGTGGTAATAACTTCTATGCTAGCTGGTAATATTAATATAGAAACGATGTAAAGAAAAAGTAACATAAAAACATACATTCGTTCTGTAGCAAAGGTAAAAGCTTGAAATTTCATGCTGTTACCTCTTGTAACTGACGACCTTGGATTGGCAGCATCTCATGTTTTTCGTATCTAAAAACTTCACTTAACTTGCACAATGTTTTTGTGATCATATTGGAAGTCTTTATGTTACAGTTTGGAGGACCTAAACAGTTGTTTTCCGTCACATGTCTCCTCTGAGGCTGCTAAATGTTTGGTGAAAATGGCTTTAGCTGTGAGCGCTAAAACTATCACCCTATTAGAATGAAATTGCTGTCCCTCTTACTTTAAAACCCAACTGCGGAATTGTTGACAGGTAGTGAAGTGACACCTAAATTCTGCACATAAACAAATATTTTGTTTAATAAAAAGAATTATAAGGTGTTATTTCTATGGCTTAAGGTTTATCTCACTAAGTTTCTCCTTTAAGGTATTTATAGTATATTATTTAAACATAGCTGATATTATTTGTTACAGACATTTGATGGACCTTTAAATGGAACGGTTTTAAACTATTAGTTAAATATATATAGTAGTAATACTACATAGATTAAATGACATTATTTTGGTCTGTTTTAATATACACAATAGACAATTAATTTAATGACTTATTAAAGCAGTCCACTGCGACGTGTATGTACGAGTATGTACATATGTAGTGGTCAAATTGTAAACGATTATGTATTATTATTATTATTTTATTATTCCATTATTGTTTTATTGTACAGAACAAATAAAAGACATTTATATTTATTTCCAAATTATGACGTATAAATAATAATATTGTATGCTTTGGAAATTAAAACAAAAATAATAACTTATAACTCGCTACAGTAAATACCCAATAAAAAAGCATAGCATCTGTATGTAAAAATATTTAAAATCACAATTACTATTTATTACTCTTCATGATATCTTTGTGTTATTAAAATATAATTACTGTTCCATTGTATATTGGCAGTTGTTGTTTAATAATTAAATATCACTACATTTTTTCATTGTTATAATATAGACGCTGATTCTACTTTGGACTATTGGAAAAAGCCGACATGATAACAATCATATCTGGAGTGCTTTGATAATCAAGTAAGCAATCAACTCTGATGTACTATCGATAGCTCATAATGATGAGATATGTGATCAAGATAACCTTAACTGATTAACTAATTAATTCTACTGTAACTAATTGTAAAATTTTAAGTTAGCGCCAATGTACATACGTCGCATAATCTACAAGGAATATATTATATAAAAATAGATTATTTACAATTGAATTACCTAAGAAAAAAAAATAATAAGTGAAATGCCTCAGAAAAAATTAATAATTAAAATAAAATCAACTGGTGCGGTTTATTCCGTAGGCTGCAAAAACAACCCAACTGGTGTCAAAGAAGTTGCCATTTTACAAGATCTATTTGAATTCATTCAAGTATAGCCAATGTTGTTTTAATTTTAATAATATAATTAAAGAAATTGTTAAAATTCTAGCTATAGCTGAATTATTTTAAATAATAAAAAAGAAAGATAAGATAGGTAAATGCCCAAGAGATGTAGTAAAACTTTTTTACTTACACAAATGTTGTACATTACATTTACTTATATTCAGATTCAAAAACTTAGTTTATTCCTTGTACAATATTACTAAACTAAGTTTAGGCATAACTATATCATTGAAAGCTAAAAGGAGGTTCTAAATGAATGTTATTTTATGTTTTTGTCTATGCGAATCACGTATAGTATTGAGATGGTAGAGCTTAGCTGTGGTCAGGTATGTACAGCTCGAACATGGGCTGGCTCGGACAGGGAAGTACCTTCTCACACAAAAGATCGGTTTGACGTAGCCTATAAAGGCTGCGGTTTATCCGATAAGTGAGAGAACCCTTTCTTCTCCCGAGATGTTAATATTTGCATTACCTTCCTTCCTGCCTTTTTGACAAGATGTTTATTAAACCCACCACCACTCCTTTCACCTTAGGGACAGCAACGCATCCGAAACACCATGTTGCAGATGTCTGTGGGCGAAGGTAACTTTCTCCTATCAAGTCGGTCCCTTTACCAAAACCCTTTACCATAAAAAAAGAATAGAGTGCGATGATTCCATCTCTTAAATAAATTACTACAATCATAAAGGCAGTCGTTATTGATATAATTAAAAGATAATAATCATAGGTAAGCATATAAATACTGTAGTGACGTCAACATTTTTTGTATTATATTTAAAAACTATTTACTTTCGATTAACACTTGATAACAGTCATGAAAGGTAGACATGAAGAAAAATCTAATATTTATTGAAATTTTGTTAGTTTATTTTGTTTTAAAATTATATTTTAATAACATCAGAACTATATATAATTGACGTTTTGTATCTCTTGTAACTTCAAGGTTATTTCACGTATCGTCTTTAAATTATAATGTATTATACATTTCATTGCGAAGTTCAAAGTTTTCGGAGAATGAAGGACAAACTAAAATGTGCCCAAAGTAGTTTGAAATTGTCCATCTAATATTGTATTTATTTTTATTATGAATAAATTACAATAATGCATGTCTAAATGCATAACTTGGTAGTAAATGAGCTGTAATTATTATTTTTACATTATAATTAATCATCTTCTTATCCACGATAATCATATCCAAAATATAATTATATAGTTTTGATAATATCAAGAAATTATCGTGTTAATATAAACCATTATAACGGATGTAAGAAAATTTCTGTGTAATGCCTAGTTTTAGTTGTCAACCCTATACCTAGATTTTATTTAATTAATCAATTATTAGTGATATACTACTATGATATACTAATGAAAGAGTTTTAAGACTTCTAATGCTGTTTAATGTCTTCAGATATTTTTGGTGGGTTTTAACTTGTCATTTCTTTGTTATAAATTGAATTAATGTTCCTCATATTATACGGATTATTGTCTTTTATATTATAAAAATATAACTTTAAACAAAAGTACCTCATCTTGATAAATTAAACCACTCTAAGCTACTACTTTTTGCATAACATTTTTTTTTAATTTGATGCAATGGAATGTATCTTTTATCAAAATCAGACGCGCTCTTCAAAATAATTTATTTCACATTAAAATTTTTCCCCATTCAATATTGGCTAAATAAGTTATCAGCGAGCGTCCAATCATAAAATCAATAGCTTGCGTTATATATATACTTATTATCATAGACATTCGGCATAATTTATCATGTGTTTGAAGTTACCTATTCTTTGGAAATGGACCGTTGTGTAGTTTTCTTCTTTTTAGTGTTTTCCGTGGTGTTGTGTGAAGAATGTGTAATTTTCGATTTCGAAAGTGACATTGAGGATTCTTTTAATCATAATGAAGACGATTGTCCTAACTTAAAGATGTGGAATATGGGTAATTATGGCGATATAGAATTGGATTCACCGAACCCAAAATCAACGCAGTATATTTATCCCGATGTAATGCCAACTTGTGCTGTATCCAGGCATATACCTATGGAGGAAAGTGGAATACTGGAATTAAATTTTTACTTTGATCCCAAATCTTTAGGTGATCATTTATCAGTAACAGTTAAAGCGATTGACAGCATTAACACTACTGTAGGAACTTTATTCACTATCGCATCTCAGAACCCACAGATTGGATGGCGTAGTGAAAGAATACGGGTTACCGGAACTGGCAAATACTTGGGCTTTGTAAGTAATAAGTGAAAATAACAACTTATAGTATTATTGCAATTTTAAGTGAAAATACATATATCATGTGAAAAGTTTTGGATTCATATTTCAATTACGCTTCAATATACATATAAATTTTTGTAACATTAATTGATCTTTCTTAAAGATCATTCATTAACACGATTTGTGAGCGTCCAGTATTTACTGAGAACCCTCGCAAACACACATACAGTACTGTACAAGTAATAATCCTGGATTTTAAAATCATTTTAAGAAGCGAAGAGTAACTATTCTGTTTTTAAATAAGACCACCTGATATACCTTTTTCATTGCCAAACATTTTTGACGGTGCTATTTATGTAGAAAAATATTCAAAGTATTTGTAAATTTAATATTATATTATTTATATTATTAGTTAAAAAAAATCAGGTGTTTATTGATACTTACATCTTGAATTAAAATTAAAACATAAGGAAAGGTGTTGTATCATATGTTTCTAGTAGTCCAAGAGAGACAATTCAAATTGCAAGAGTCATAGACAGTGACAGTAGCGCAACCAGAAAGTTTAAACAATGTTGTCAACCTAATTTCACATGTTACCACCAGTCATACCTGACTACGCCTATGCTCTAACTGAAAGACCAAGATGAACGAAACATCACAATATTAGCTGACCTGGAATTCTTAATTTTCAAACATTATTATATTCCGTACTAACTTGCTCTCTAGGGATATCAAGTTATATGCAGTAAAAGGTTATTTTGTTGTAAGGAAGTTATTATGATTTTTTAAATTAAGTATTATAAGGATTTTAGATACAACCATCACTTTTAAGATTTACCCCTTTTATCAACCTAAGAAAATGTTACTCTACAATTAAAATTTAATACATATATATCATTGAGGTTTGATAAAAATCAAGCCATGCCGACTAAACTATAAATGACTTTACTAGGTAGTAGACTATAGAGTCTAGCTGTAGTTATGTTACTACAGATCGAATACGGGCTGGCTCGCTCGGTTAAGTACCACCCTCTCACAGAAAATCGGCGTGAGGTAGCCTTTAATGGCTGCGTTTTGTCCGATGAGTGAGAGAGCTGATTGCCCTTTTCTTATTCCCACCTTTTTCTGTCATTTCCTTATTACTACACCTCCCCATTCCTAGACTAAGTTTGGCCACGCATCCGCAACAGAGATGTTGTGGATGTCCATGGGCGACGGTTAAAGATTGGCCCTCAAGTAAACCGTCTGCTCGTTTAGCACTTCTCTCCTAAAAAAAACACGGCACTAATCATTACTTTTAAATTCTAGAGAAAAGTAAATTCTTTCGTTTTATAAATAAAACCATTGCAATTCGATGAAAAAGAGATATGTTTTAATTGTAATCTATTACCAATAATAGAACCCAACAATATTCATAAAACAACTTTTATTTTTCTCAAGATAGTCCTCTTTTTTACAGATAACCATCGTGGGAATGGCGGCATCAGATTCAATTATTTTAATAGATTCGATTCGATACCTATCACCTTCATCTAATGAGGAAAACTGTAATATATACGAGGAGCAAACAACAACAACAGTAATAACTACAGAGAGTACAATAAGTACACCATCGACTTCAACTAATTACCCAGACATAATAACCACGGCCTCCACCAATGCAACTGATACCATTACAACAGGAAGCACCGAAACGTCCACAACAACTGATGTTATTACTACAACAACTACTCCATCGTCGACCACGGACAATTCAAATATTTCTACAACTGAAACACCCTTCCCTACAGACAGCATTGTTACAACAGGAAGCACCGAAACGTCCACAACAACTGATGTTATTACTACAACAACTACTCCATCGTCGACCACGGACAATTCAAATATTTCTACAACTGAAACACCCTTCCCTACAGACAGCATTGTTACAACAGGAAGCACCGAAACGTCCACAACAACTGATGTTATTACTACAACAACTACTCCATCGTCGACCACGGACAATTCAAATATTTCTACAACTGAAACACCCTTCCCTACAGACAGCATTATTACAACAGGAAGCACCGAAACGTCCACAACAACTGATGTTATTACTACAACAACTACTCCATCGTCGACCACGGACAATTCAAATATTTCTACAACTGAAACACCCTTCCCTACAGACAGCATTGTTACAACAGGAAGCACCGAAACATCCACAACCACTGATGTTATTACTACAACAACTACTCCATCGTCGACCACGGACAATTCAAATATTTCTACAACTGAAACACCCTTCCCTACAGACAGCATTGTTACAACAGGAAGCACCGAAACGTCCACAACAACTGATGTTATTACTACAACAACTACTCCATCGTCGACCACGGACAATTCAAATATTTCTACAACTGAAACACCCTTCCCTACAGACAGCATTGTTACAACAGGAAGCACCGAAACGTCCACAACAACTGATGTTATTACTACAACAACTACTCCATCGTCGACCACGGACAATTCAAATATTTCTACAACTGAAACACCCTTCCCTACAGACAGCATTGTTACAACAGGAAGCACCGAAACGTCCACAACAACTGATGTTATTACTACAACAACTACTCCATCGTCGACCACGGACAATTCAAATATTTCTACAACTGAAACACCCTTCCCTACAGACAGCATTGTTACAACAGGAAGCACCGAAACGTCCACAACAACTGATGTTATTACTACAACAACTACTCCATCGTCGACCACGGACAATTCAAATATTTCTACAACTGAAACACCCTTCCCTACAGACAGCATTGTTACAACAGGAAGCACCGAAACGTCCACAACCACTGATGTTATTACTACAACAACTACTCCATCGTCGACCACGGACAATTCAAATATTTCTACAACTGAAACACCCTTCCCTACAGACAGCATTGTTACAACAGGAAGCACCGAAACGTCCACAACAACTGATGTTATTACTACAACAACTACTCCATCGTCGACCACGGACAATTCAAATATTTCTACAACTGAAACACCCTTCCCTACAGACAGCATTGTTACAACAGGAAGCACCGAAACGTCCACAACAACTGATGTTATTACTACAACAACTACTCCATCGTCGACCACGGACAATTCAAATATTTCTACAACTGAAACACCCTTCCCTACAGACAGCATTGTTACAACAGGAAGCACCGAAACGTCCACAACCACTGATGTTATTACTACAACAACTACTCCATCGTCGACCACGGACAATTCAAATATTTCTACAACTGAAACACCCTTCCCTACAGACAGCATTGTTACAACAGGAAGCACCGAAACGTCCACAACAACTGATGTTATTACTACAACAACTACTCCATCGTCGACCACGGACAATTCAAATATTTCTACAACTGAAACACCCTTCCCTACAGACAGCATTGTTACAACAGGAAGCACCGAAACGTCCACAACCACTGATGTTATTACTACAACAACTACTCCATCGTCGACCACGGACAATTCAAATATTTCTACAACTGAAACACCCTTCCCTACAGACAGCATTGTTACAACAGGAAGCACCGAAACGTCCACAACAACTGATGTTATTACTACAACAACTACTCCATCGTCGACCACGGACAATTCAAATATTTCTACAACTGAAACACCCTTCCCTACAGACAGCATTGTTACAACAGGAAGCACCGAAACGTCCACAACAACTGATGTTAATACTACAACAACTACTCCATCGTCGACCACGGACAATTCAAATATTTCTACAACTGAAACACCCTTCCCTACAGACAGCATTGTTACAACAGGAAGCACCGAAACGTCCACAACAACTGATGTTATTACTACAACAACTACTCCATCGTCGACCACGGACAAGTCAAATATTTCTACAACTGAAACACCCTTCCCTACAGACAGCATTGTTACAACAGGAAGCACCGAAACGTCCACAACAACTGATGTTATTACTACAACAACTACTCCATCGTCGACCACGGACAATTCAAATATTTCTACAACTGAAACACCCTTCCCTACAGACAGCATTGTTACAACAGGAAGCACCGAAACGTCCACAACCACTGATGTTATTACTACAACAACTACTCCATCGTCGACCACGGACAATTCAAATATTTCTACAACTGAAACACCCTTCCCTACAGACAGCATTGTTACAACAGGAAGCACCGAAACGTCCACAACCACTGATGTTATTACTACAACAACTACTCCATCGTCGACCACGGACAATTCAAATATTTCTACAACTGAAACACCCTTCCCTACAGACAGCATTGTTACAACAGGAAGCACCGAAACGTCCACAACAACTGATGTTATTACTACAACAACTACTACTCCATCGTCGACCACGGACAATTCAAATATTTCTACAACTGAAACACCCTTCCCTACAGACAGCATTGTTACAACAGGAAGCACCGAAACGTCCACAACAACTGATGTTATTACTACAACAACTACTCCATCGTCGACCACGGACAATTCAAATATTTCTACAACTGAAACACCCTTCCCTACAGACAGCATTGTTACAACAGGAAGCACCGAAAAGTCCACAACAACTGATGTTATTACTACAACAACTACTCCATCGTCGACCACGGACAATTCAAATATTTCTACAACTGAAACACCCTTCCCTACAGACAGCATTGTTACAACAGGAAGCACCGAAACGTCCACAACAACTGATGTTATTACTACAACAACTACTCCATCGTCGACCACGGACAATTCAAATATTTCTACAACTGAAACACCCTTCCCTACAGACAGCATTGTTACAACAGGAAGCACCGAAACGTCCACAACAACTGATGTTATTACTACAACAACTACTCCATCGTCGACCACGGACAATTCAAATATTTCTACAACTGAAACACCCTTCCCTACAGACACCATTGTCACAACAGGAAGCACCGAAACGTCCACAACAACTGATGTTATTACTACAACAACTACTCCATCGTCGACCACGGACAATTCAAATATTTCTACAACTGAAACACCCTTCCCAACAGACAGCATTGTTACAACAGGAAGCACCGAAACGTCTACAACAACTGATGTTATTACTACAACAACTACTCCATCGTCGACCACGGACAATTCAAATATTTCTACAACTGAAACACCCTTCCCTACAGACAGCATTGTTACAACAGGAAGCACCGAAACGTCCACAACCACTGATGTTATTACTACAACAACTACTCCATCGTCGACCACGGACAATTCAAATATTTCTACAACTGAAACACCCTTCCCTACAGACAGCATTGTTACAACAGGAAGCACCGAAACGTCCACAACCACTGATGTTATTACTACAACAACTACTCCATCGTCGACCACGGACAATTCAAATATTTCTACAACTGAAACACCCTTCACTACAGACAGCTTTATTACAACAGGAAGCACTGAAATATCTACAACAACTGATGTTATTACTACTCAGGATACATCTACTGAGTCTGCAACTACAGATAACTCAAACAGTTCAAGCACAACCACGACTCCAATAACTCCTCCACCAGTTGACCCAAAATATAAATTTTGGAATCCATTCACAATTTCAATGGTAACATTTTTAATTTTAATATTTCTTATACTTATTGCTGTCGTTAGTTATTATATTGGAAGATCTAAACGGCGTAAGTACTCTGAACTTGATTTTCCAGATGACGAAAGTTTACCACGATCTTTAAAAATACCCAGAATATCAAAAGTTCTTGTTGAACCAATTACTATCAGTAAATTCATAAAATGAATGATAATTTTACTCTTAAATAATAAACTATTGTTATTTCTGTGTATATACAAACTGTAATATTTATTTACATGTAAAAAATAATGTATAAGGTATATTTTATAAGTAATCCCAAATACTCAAACTTATATGTTTATTTTAAAGTAGTTAGTGAATATTTTAAGTTTGTAAATAATATATCTTTAAAGTAAAAAATAATTGTGATATTATGGAAAATATATTTTAGGACCAGATTTTATCCTAAAACGCGCTTATCAAGAATGTGATATCTGCGATAGTAGATTTTTAGATAACAATTATTAAAGATAAATAACTAAAAAAAAAAAATATTTATTGTTGATAAGGTTTAACCATGATTACATTATTACATACCACAATTGAATATTTTGTACTTAAAGCAATATTTATATCAACGATGGCGAGCCGAGGTTATGGATTGAATACGTTAGTCCTGAACAAATTATTGTGTTTAACTAAATAACAATTTTTATACTTTACAGTTATCGATTCATATACATATGTCCGTGAATTTAAAACAGTCGGATTTTCACGAACATATTTGTTAATCCATTTTAATCGTTTGGTCGATAACGATAGGATAAAGGCACAATGGTCATCATAATCCGATTACTCTTTTGACGTTGACGCTGAAATCGTAAAAAATGCAATTAAATGTACTAAAGGTTGTCATACCTACAATGTAACTAATTAATTTATTGTTATATATTTATAAAAAGAAATTGTCTGCACTTTAAATGTATTGAAATAAAAAAATTGTAATAAAATATTTATGTTTTCTTATTTAATTACCTGACATAACATTAGTATTTAAATTTTAAGAAAAAAAGGAGAGCTTCAATTTTAAAAGTTGAACGTCGTAACTATGTTTTAAAATAATATATTTTAAAAAATGTGTATTTAACTGGTATAAAAGTACTTAGTAAAGTTCCACTGAGATAAGAAATAAATTCCTGTCTATATGATATGCCAAAAATATCTTAGAGAAAATCAAACAGATTTGAATAATAAATCAATTTCTCGTCCGTCTTTATGATTCTTATAATAAAAGGATATCCAGAGTAAATGGTTAATTTTATTATTAGAGTTAACGACTAAGTATTAAACAAACAAATCAATTTACCTATGCTTTTCCTAAGACACATACTACATATAAATACTTTTAGCCCTATGAAAATTTTACCACATGCGTGTGAATTAAATTGCTTATAGTCAGTATTTCTGTCTGCAATATTTAACTAGTCTGTAATACTCATCGGCAGTCGCCTTTTTTACTAAACTTGTTATTACGAGAGAATATTTTAATATCTTATTTATGTTTACAAAAATGATATTCTAGCGGACAATAAATTATGTAATTGTTTCTTGAAATTAGTAGACATAATAATTCTATTAAATAAATCGCAACTATTATTAGGGTTTTATATTGGAGTAGTTATTGTCTATTAAGTAGCAGAGCAGCACTTTCCAAAAGTTACAAACCCACCTTTTTTTCACTTATGTTCTTTTCATATCACATATTCATATTATATTTCTGTTAGGAACTTATTATATACCAACAATTTTACACATTTTGTTATTAATTCGAATTACAGGTAATTAAATGATGTTCTATATTTGATGATTATGTCTTTTGTTATGTGTATAACAAGCCCTGTAAAAGTAAGGGATTGAAAATTTCAGTTTAATATGTTACTGAATAGAAAAGAAACGTGTTAGTTAAAAATCTGCGAAATATTTATTTCTTCAATAAAATTATGTTTTCAATGAAAGAAATTCTTACGCTAGCTGATTTTTCCCTTTAAAAAAAAATATTGTATGGTAATATTATCTTTTCCATTTATTATATAATTTTAAAGCATGTTTCGGTACTAAGAAATTCTTAAACTATGAAATGTATTCGTAATTTAACGACCTGAGGCCGATTTATAGTTATTATATTTAAATAAAGTTTCGATACAAGTAACGGACAGGAAGTAAATAATAAAAATCATCTTTATCTAATAAAAGTTTTATAGATCGTTTAAATAGCTAATAGCTTAAATAGTAAATTAATTTACTGATTAAGAATGCTTATGTATCAAAATCGTCTGTACGAAAACTTCGATGAGGAATCAGATAATTATAAGATATGAATTTGTTTGATAGTTCGATCACTGATAATTTCATAAAATACGATAAAGGTGTAATTCAGTAGCGGAATTTCAATTAAATGCTTTGTAAAGAAATAACAACAAAGTTCGAGAACATTTGATATGTTTTTACTTTAACAAAATGACACCGTGACTCGTAATATATTAGAAATTGTTTTAAATATATTTATCGTTACTTGATGTTTTAATGTATTTTATCCAAAATAAAAGAAATGTTAAGGTTGAATTCAAAATTTCAACTTATATGTTACACATTATTTTCAATAAGAAATGTGTCAAAAGACAGTGACGTGCACACCATAGATGCAATAAGCACTGCATACTCTACCCATAAAACAGCTAAACCTATATTGTTTTTAATTTCTACTTACATACTTTTAATCATACATTACGAAGTACAAATGTTTACGGACATTCAATATGACATTTGATTCACGATTTGTTAAAAGTTCTATATGTTAATGTAAAAACGAAACATTTTCGATCGGCTAACCGCTAGCGCCGCTATGCAGACAGGACGGCAGTATGCACAACTGCTCGATGCTTATTTTCCACACAAAAATTTTCAAGGACGATCTACAAATCTCGTGTTGTATGCAGGAAATGTTTGTATGTGTGTGTATGTGTAAAACTATGCATGCATGTGTTAGTGTTTGAAAAGCACTGGATACTATTTATTGTTTAAAATCTCGATGAAAGTCCGTTAATTGTCAAATGAAACGGGACTCCGATTGGTTGATAAACTGTTCATATATTTTTTTCGCCATTCTATAAGTATTGAATATAGTCATTTGTCTTTCTAAACACAAGTGAATGAGTTTTAATGAGTTAAAGGTGGATTGTTTTATTAACGAACTAGTTTTTGCCCGCGACTTCGTCCGCGTTAATTTCGTCATTAGTAATATTTGTATAGCTGACCGGGCAAACTATATTCCGTCTTCAATAACCCGGTATTGGTATTTATTAAATTTCTACTGTTTCAATCGAACAGAATGATTGACATCTTAGTTAGTTGTCAAGTCTAATGTCAAAAAATCGTTTGTATGGGAAATAGAAAAGGGCTGTTTTTAGGATTTTCCCGGCAATTTTTCCAATTTTTCTCACCTTTTAAACCTTTCCTGGACTTCCAGGAGTATTTCAAGACTAAAATTAGCCAAATCGGTTCAGCCGTTCTCGAGTTTTAGCGAGACTAAGGAACAGCAATCCATTTTTATATATATAGAAGATTATAGAGAATTATAGCTGTGAGCTCTATGCTTGTGATGTGTGTTTTTTGAAATAAAATATGAAAAGATTTTCAATATTATCGTTTGATAATAAAATTAAAATAATTGTCAAGGGAAGACCTGTGACCAGTAGAGATTAAACTAAAAGAAAGGTAATGTTATTTAATAAAAAGTATTATGATAGTTTTGATTAATTAGCAGGTTGTGTACACACAAATAAATTATTTTGTTTGCCTTGTTTGTTGTTTTCAAATGATAATAATAAAAATGTTTGAATCGCCACTGGATATTCCTATTTAAATAACTTTTATAAATCTGTGATGAACAGATGGTAGTCGTTTTAAGGTAGTTGAGAGATTCATAACGTATATAGATGTTCATTCTGATCGGATTGCTGTAACATTATAAGCGAATATTATCAATGTTTAAATGAAACTAATATTGCCGCATTACTTCGAGTATTTTATTATGTTTAAAAACTACATACCTAATTCCGACGTTTCGATTACTCTGCAGCAACCGTGATCACGGCAGACATCTCGTCTGCCCGTTAAAAATAATAAATTACGCGTAGTAATCCGAAAATATTAGATTCATTTAAATTAATACTTGCGAAAGATCTCTTTTGATGAATGTTATATAAGGGAAATTATTAAAATTGCAATTTTTTGTTTCATTCAACTTCTGCTTACCCTAGCCCAAATCTCTGTGCACGCCACTGTTAAAAGACGACATAGACATAAAACCAATTCATCTTTGTTTCCTTTTCTCAACGTAGCAATGCTCCTATCAGAATGTTTAAAACTGCGAAATAATCCATTAGAAATAATTAATTCATAAGAAATTATTTTTCTTATCTATCAAGAAGAAGAAAACAAAAATGAGAGAAACTTAATAAAAATTTTGGACATGACGAAATTTTAGGTGAACACTATAAAAAATTTAATTGTATCATGTAAAAGTTCAAAATTGTATGTTTCAAAAGATTTCAGATATCTTATATATAAATTTCTACCGTACTACACAACACGTCAAAAAAAAGTCCCTGTTATCGTATTCAATTATAATGCAGTAAATTATTGAACCATCTTAAAAGGTTATCTATTATCAGCAAATATAATTTTTTGATAAAACTGGACAGTATATTTTTGACCGGCTGTAAGTTAAGTACCTAACAATGAAATGTCAATTTCTGTATTAATGTACCTTTTGTTCTTGTTAAAATTTAATAGTGCAAAAGACTTAAACATTAGTGACAAAACTATAAATCACGGTGAAATTAATTTAACAAGCCCAGGTAAACACCAAACAAATCCTTCAGTACACCTAAACTTCGTACTTACTGAACTAACAGAAAATTTATTTCAGAATTAAAGTCAACCACACTTGCGAGGTCCCCGTATGAAGTACCAGGACGAAATGATCAGGCACAGAAGGTTAATACTTCGATATTACCAGCTACATCAGCCGAGCCGATAATAACCTCTACAACTGATATTATACCAACGTCGTCAACGGAAACGACAATAACTGCTACAACTGATGTGATACCGACGTCCTCAACGGAAACGACTATAACTTCTACAACTGATATTATACCGACGTCCTCAACGGAAACGACTATAACTTCTACAACTGATATTATACCGACGTCCTCAACGGAAACGATTATAACTTCTACAACTGATGTGATACCGACGTCCTCAACGGAAACGATTATAACTTCTACAACTGATGTGATACCGACGTCCTCAACGGAAACGACTATAACTTCTACAACTGATATTATACCGACGTCCTCAACGGAAACGATTATAACTTCTACAACTGATATAATACCGACGTCCTCAACGGAAACGATTATAACTTCTACAACTGATGTGATACCGACGTCCTCAACGGAAACGATTATAACTTCTACAACTGATATTATACCGACGTCCTCAACGGAAACGATTATAACTTCTACAACTGATATTATACCGACGTCCTCAACGGAAACGACTATAACTTCTACAACTGATATTATACCGACGTCCTCAACGGAAACGATTATAACTTCTACAACTGATGTGATACCGACGTCCTCAACGGAAACGATTATAACTTCTACAACTGATATTATACCGACGTCCTCAACGGAAACGACTATAACTTCTACAACTGATATTATACCGACGTCCTCAACGGAAACGATTACAACTTCTACAACTGATATTATACCGACGTCCTCAACGGAAAAGATTATAACTTCTACTACTGATATTATACCGACGTCCTCAACGGAAACGATTATAACTTCTACAACTGATGTGATACCGACGTCCTCAACGGAAACGATTATAACTTCTACAACTGATGTGATACCGACGTCCTCAACGGAAACGATTATAACTTCTACAACTGATATTATACCGACGTCCTCAACGGAAACGACTATAACTTCTACAACTGATATTATACCGACGTCCTCAACGGAAACGATTACAACTTCTACAACTGATATTATACCGACGTCCTCAACGGAAACGATTATAACTTCTACAACTGATGTGATACCGACGTCCTCAACGGAAACGATTATAACTTCTACAACTGATATTATACCGACGTCCTCAACGGAAACGACTATAACTTCTACAACTGATATTATACCGACGTCCTCAACGGAAACGATTATAACTTCTACAACTGATATGATACCGACGTCCTCAACGGAAACGATTATAACTTCTACAACTGATATTATACCGACGTCCTCAACGGAAACGACTATAACTTCTACAACTGATGTGATACCGACGTCCTCAACTGAAACGACTATAACTTCTACAACTGATATTATACCGACGTCCTCAACGGAAACGATTATAACTTCTACAACTGATATTATACCGACGTCCTCAACGGAAACGATTATAACTTCTACAACTGATATTATACCGACGTCCTCAACGGAAACGATTATAACTTCTACAACTGATATTATACCGACGTCCTCAACAGAAACGACTATAACTTCTACAGCTGATGTGATACCGACGTCCTCAACGGAAACGATTAAAACTTCTACAACTGATGTGATACCGACGTCCTCAACGGAAACGATTATAACTTCTACTACTGATATTATACCGACGTCCTCAACGGAAACGATTATAACTTCTACAACTGATGTGATACCGACGTCCTCAACGGAAACGATTATAACTTCTACTACTGATATTTTACCGACGTCCTCAACGGAAACGATTATAACTTCTACAACTGATGTGATACCGACGTCCTCAACGGAAACGATTATAACTTCTACTACTGATGTGATACCGACGTCCTCAACGGAAACGATTATAACTTCTACAACTGATATTATACCGACGTCCTCAACGGAAACGATTATAACTTCTACAACTGATATTATACCGACGTCCTCAACGGAAACGATTATAACTTCTACAACTGATGTGATACCGACGTCCTCAACGGAAACGATTATAACTTCTACTACTGATGTGATACCGACGTCCTCAACGGAAACGATTATAACTTCTACAACTGATGTGATACCGACGTCCTCAACGGAAACGATTATAACTTCTACAACTGATATTATACCGACGTCCTCAACGGACACGACTATAACTTCTACAACTGATATTATACCGACGTCCTCAACGGAAACGATTACAACTTCTACAACTGATATTATACCGACGTCCTCAACGGAAACGATTATAACTTCTACAACTGATGTGATACCGACGTCCTCAACGGAAACGATTATAACTTCTCCAACTGATATTATACCGACGTCCTCAACGGAAACGATTATAACTTCTACAACTGATGTGATACCGACGTCCTCAACGGAAACGATTATAACTTCTACAACTGATATTATACCGACGTCCTCAACGGAAACGACTATAACTTCTACAACTGATATTATACCGACGTCCTCAACGGAAACGATTACAACTTCTACAACTGATATTATACCGACGTCCTCAACGGAAACGATTATAACTTCTACTACTGATATTATACCGACGTCCTCAACGGAAACGATTATAACTTCTACAACTGATGTGATACCGACGTCCTCAACGGAAACGATTATAACTTCTACAACTGATATTATACCGACGTCCTCAACGGAAACGATTATAACTTCTACAACTGATATTATACCGACGTCCTCAACGGAAACGACTATAACTTCTACAACTGATATTATACCGACGTCCTCAACGGAAACGATTATAACTTCTACAACTGATGTGATACCGACGTCCTCAACGGAAACGATTATAACTTCTACAACTGATATTATACCGACGTCCTCAACGGAAACGACTATAACTTCTACAACTGATATTATACCGACGTCCTCAACGGAAACGATTATAACTTCTACAACTGATATGATACCGACGTCCTCAACGGAAACGATTATAACTTCTACAACTGATATTATACCGACGTCCTCAACGGAAACGACTATAACTTCTACAACTGATGTGATACCGACATCCTCAACTGAAACGACTATAACTTCTACAACTGATATTATACCGACGTCCTCAACGGAAACGATTATAACTTCTACAACTGATATTATACCGACGTCCTCAACGGAAACGATTATAACTTCTACAACTGATATTATACCGACGTCCTCAACGGAAACGATTATAACTTCTACAACTGATATTATACCGACGTCCTCAACGGAAACGACTATAACTTCTACAGCTGATGTGATACCGACGTCCTCAACGGAAACGATTAAAACTTCTACAACTGATGTGATACCGACGTCCTCAACGGAAACGATTATAACTTCTACTACTGATATTATACCGACGTCCTCAACGGAAACGATTATAACTTCTACAACTGATGTGATACCGACGTCCTCAACGGAAACGATTATAACTTCTACTACTGATATTTTACCGACGTCCTCAACGGAAACGATTATAACTTCTACAACTGATGTGATACCGACGTCCTCAACGGAAACGATTATAACTTCTACTACTGATGTGATACCGACGTCCTCAACGGAAACGATTATAACTTCTACAACTGATATTATACCGACGTCCTCAACGGAAACGATTATAACTTCTACAACTGATATTATACCGACGTCCTCAACGGAAACGATTATAACTTCTACAACTGATGTGATACCGACGTCCTCAACGGAAACGATTATAACTTCTACTACTGATGTGATACCGACGTCCTCAACGGAAACGATTATAACTTCTACAACTGATGTGATACCGACGTCCTCAACGGAAACGATTATAACTTCTACAACTGATATTATACCGACGTCCTCAACGGACACGACTATAACTTCTACAACTGATATTATACCGACGTCCTCAACGGAAACGATTACAACTTCTACAACTGATATTATACCGACGTCCTCAACGGAAACGATTATAACTTCTACAACTGATGTGATACCGACGTCCTCAACGGAAACGATTATAACTTCTCCAACTGATATTATACCGACGTCCTCAACGGAAACGATTATAACTTCTACAACTGATGTGATACCGACGTCCTCAACGGAAACGATTATAACTTCTACAACTGATATTATACCGACGTCCTCAACGGAAACGACTATAACTTCTACAACTGATATTATACCGACGTCCTCAACGGAAACGATTACAACTTCTACAACTGATATTATACCGACGTCCTCAACGGAAACGATTATAACTTCTACTACTGATATTATACCGACGTCCTCAACGGAAACGATTATAACTTCTACAACTGATGTGATACCGACGTCCTCAACGGAAACGATTATAACTTCTACAACTGATGTGATACCGACGTCCTCAACGGAAACGATTATAACTTCTACAACTGATATTATACCGACGTCCTCAACGGAAACGACTATAACTTCTACAACTGATATTATACCGACGTCCTCAACGGAAACGATTACAACTTCTACAACTGATATTATACCGACGTCCTCAACGGAAACGATTATAACTTCTACAACTGATGTGATACCGACGTCCTCAACGGAAACGATTATAACTTCTACAACTGATATTATACCGACGTCCTCAACGGAAACGACTATAACTTCTACAACTGATATTATACCGACGTCCTCAACGGAAACGATTATAACTTCTACAACTGATATGATACCGACGTCCTCAACGGAAACGATTATAACTTCTACAACTGATATTATACCGACGTCCTCAACGGAAACGACTATAACTTCTACAACTGATGTGATACCGACGTCCTCAACTGAAACGACTATAACTTCTACAACTGATATTATACCGACGTCCTCAACGGAAACGATTATAACTTCTACAACTGATATTATACCGACGTCCTCAACGGAAACGATTATAACTTCTACAACTGATATTATACCGACGTCCTCAACGGAAACGATTATAACTTCTACAACTGATATTATACCGACGTCCTCAACGGAAACGACTATAACTTCTACAGCTGATGTGATACCGACGTCCTCAACGGAAACGATTAAAACTTCTACAACTGATGTGATACCGACGTCCTCAACGGAAACGATTATAACTTCTACTACTGATATTATACCGACGTCCTCAACGGAAACGATTATAACTTCTACAACTGATGTGATACCGACGTCCTCAACGGAAACGATTATAACTTCTACTACTGATATTTTACCGACGTCCTCAACGGAAACGATTATAACTTCTACAACTGATGTGATACCGACGTCCTCAACGGAAACGATTATAACTTCTACTACTGATGTGATACCGACGTCCTCAACGGAAACGATTATAACTTCTACAACTGATATTATACCGACGTCCTCAACGGAAACGATTATAACTTCTACAACTGATATTATACCGACGTCCTCAACGGACACGACTATAACTTCTACAACTGATATTATACCGACGTCCTCAACGGAAACGATTACAACTTCTACAACTGATATTATACCGACGTCCTCAACGGAAACGATTATAACTTCTACAACTGATGTGATACCGACGTCCTCAACGGAAACGATTATAACTTCTACTACTGATGTGATACCGACGTCCTCAACGGAAACGATTATAACTTCTACAACTGATGTGATACCGACGTCCTCAACGGAAACGATTATAACTTCTACAACTGATATTATACCGACGTCCTCAACGGACACGACTATAACTTCTACAACTGATATTATACCGACGTCCTCAACGGAAACGATTACAACTTCTACAACTGATATTATACCGACGTCCTCAACGGAAACGATTATAACTTCTACAACTGATGTGATACCGACGTCCTCAACGGAAACGATTATAACTTCTCCAACTGATATTATACCGACGTCCTCAACGGAAACGATTATAACTTCTACAACTGATGTGATACCGACGTCCTCAACGGAAACGATTATAACTTCTACAACTGATGTGATACCGACGTCCTCAACGGAAACGATTATAACTTCTACAACTGATGTGATACCGACGTCCTCAACGGAAACGATTATAACTTCTACAACTGATGTGATACCGACGTCCTCAACGGAAACGATTATAACTTCTACAACTGATATTATACCGACGTCCTCAACGGACACGACTATAACTTCTACAACTGATATTATACCGACGTCCTCAACGGAAACGATTACAACTTCTACAACTGATATTATACCGACGTCCTCAACGGAAACGATTATAACTTCTACTACTGATATTATACCGACGTCCTCAACGGAAACGATTATAACTTCTACAACTGATGTGATACCGACGTCCTCAACGGAAACGATTATAACTTCTACAACTGATGTGATACCGACGTCCTCAACGGAAACGATTTTAACTTCTACAACTGATATTATACCGACGTCCTCAACGGACACGACTATAACTTCTACAACTGATATTATACCGACGTCCTCAACGGAAACGATTACAACTTCTACAACTGATATTATACCGACGTCCTCAACGGAAACGATTATAACTTCTACAACTGATGTGATACCGACGTCCTCAACGGAAACGATTATAACTTCTCCAACTGATATTATACCGACGTCCTCAACGGAAACGATTATAACTTCTACAACTGATGTGATACCGACGTCCTCAACGGAAACGATTATAACTTCTACAACTGATATTATACCGACGTCCTCAACGGAAACGACTATAACTTCTACAACTGATATTATACCGACGTCCTCAACGGAAACGATTATAACTTCTACAACTGATATGATACCGACGTCCTCAACGGAAACGATTATAACTTCTACAACTGATGTGATACCGACGTCCTCAACGGAAACGATTATAACTTCTACAACTGATATTATACCGACGTCCTCAACGGAAACGATTATAACTTCTACAACTGATGTGATACCGACGTCCTCAACGGAAACGATTATAACTTCTACAACTGATATTATACCGACGTCCTCAACGGAAACGACTATAACTTCTACAACTGATGTGATACCGACGTCGTCATTGGAACCCACAAAATCCCCAGACCCTGATCCTTCCTATACAACCGAAACGCCTAGCGAGGAAGTATATACAAATTTTTGGAATATGTGGACAATCACGTTACTGGCGTTAGGTTCTGGGGTGATTTTTTCTATAGTTATAGTTAGTGCATATCATATCGGTAAAATGAGAAGAAATAACACTGAAAGTGATTATTTCATTGCCGAAATTGAACCGCAAAGAATAATTCCTCGAGTTAGAAGGGCATCAAATAATCCAATTTTCCTCGTTTAAACAGTTACTTAAAAATAGAGAAATAGTTGTTTAAATATTTAATATAAAATAACAAACCAACATATAATTGAAATCGCTTAACAACTAATATAGCTTTTCTAATTTTTGTTAACAATAGACCAAAAATGTATTATGTTTTAGAAGATTATGTAACAAAAAAAATATGTACGTTTTTGTAAGTGCATAATTTAAGGCAGGACAAAACACAAATGGGATTATGTAAAATAGTGTCATTGTGATAAATACAAGATATAAGAAAGTAATAAAGATATATACGTAATGGCAAATAACCTTATCTGAAACTTATTTGTATGCAGTGTCATTATACTCGTAGGTATATAATACTTTGCTTAAATAACGTGACACTATTATACTAGTTAAATAACTTTATTAAACATTTCGTATAAAAAAAACTATGAATATTTTCCTAAGTTATATTACAAATAATGAAGCAAACTCAATTAAGCAATGATAGAAATAATTTTGAACTCAAGAATATCAGTGGATTGATTCAGAATACCAGTAATTGTCCGTTTAAATAAAGTGAAGAAAATATGCAAAAGTATCTTTGAACAGTAAAACTTGAATCTCTACATGTGTTACAACTTTGTCGGACGGGGAGCGCTTTGTACTTTTCCTTTATATTTCCATTTCCTAAGTCTCGTGCACTTTCAAACTTGAAAATTTGCGAGTCAGTAGGTGATATGTGCTATTGAAAACATTTAAAATGTTTTCCATTTGACATATTATTACACGGTATACAAAATCGAAGTTATAAATATGGTCTCATTTCAGATAATAGGATAATAATGTAAGATATAAATAAAAACGGATTTGAAATATTTAATTGCCAGTTTTTTAATACATTTGGATGTTATACACATATATTTTTTTTATGTTTTTTGTATATGACTACGTGATTTTATTACATTATTTTTAGGTTTTGATTTAAAAAAACAGTGATCAGATTTATAATGCCATGATCACGGTTGTTTAAAAATACTCAAAACATCGAGAAAATGTAAAAATAAAATTATCATATAATCCAAATACTTAGTTTCATTGTAATAATAAGTAAGTTAGATTACTTTGGTCTTAGGAATTCCAAAGATTTCATTCATATAAATTATAAAAAAATTAGTTCCACAACAACCACGACTACATAGCCAGTGATTCATATAATTGCAAAATTAGTTCAAAGCTGTTTTTATGAAAATGATTCTAAGGAGACATTGAACTCCAAATAATTATAAGCAATACATAATATGAAAATAATAGCTTTACTTTAGAATCGTTACTATTTTTTTATACACCTTTTGACCAAGACTATTCCAAAACAAGTTCCCAGATCAGTCCGTTTTAATGCTTTATTGAATTTTTCATTATTTCTAGACAAAATAACTCTTATGAAAGTTTAGTTCTAAAACTGATAAAAAACTACGGAGGATGTTAAACATATTTACTAAAGCATATCTTTACATCGATATATTGATTCAAATTAAAAGCAAGCATCTTTAAAACATGAGACAGATAGTAATAATGATCAGGTTTGATATATTTATAATTTCTTTGTTAAATATAGGTACATACCTTTAACAAAGTTATTGTAAAGCTACCATAGTTATTAATAATAAGATATTTCTAAGACTAATAGTATTTAAAAAACAAACTAATACTTATATTACATAATTTCTCAATGAATAATAGACCCTTTAAATATAATACAAAGGTTTTATATCAAAATAATTTTAAAAAAAATTGTCTAAATGTAATTGTTATTTATTGCCGATATTACTGTATTAAAATAAAAACTAAAATTTTGAACTTTTATGATTTTAAAAAGCTAACTGTTCCCTCGTATTTGATTTAGAATGTCACTTGAAATTAAATTAAAATCAGTCGATCTCAAACATAACAGCCCCTCCCAAATGTAAGTATATACAATTCTATAACGAGCTGGCTTGATAAGAAAATGCAATGATTCTCAGCTAATAGTTAAAAAACGAGGTTGTAATAATAAAAAAATATAATGATTCCTTTAAAACAGAGACTTTCTTTTAAACAAGCATTCATTAAATCACCATTACCTTTTTTGATATAAAATAAACATTAAAAATATTCTTGAATGTAATTTAATAATAAAAAATAAGTTGTTAATGAAATGTAGCAAAAATAAAATATACCGAGTTTTATCTTATTAACATTGTGAAGACAATTGATTTCACTGTACCTTCGTTTTTCATTATTTTAATAAATAAGTACATCATTATGTAAATCAATTATAATTTTCATCCAGCCTACATAGCTTCGTTGTAATTCTTTTGTTATGTCACCGTCGGATAAGTAGCACTATCATATTGTTTGCTGTACCCTTATTCTGAGTTTCCATCGTCACTACTCACGAAGCGTTTTCCGTTTTTTATTCAACAACCCACGTTGATGCAATAATGTAACAAGATTTATGAAGAAAAAAATAATTACGCTCTGTATGTAGCCTACCGATGCTGACTTAGAATAGGCGTACTGATTATAATTGTATTTAACTTGTCATATAACATGGCATTTGTATAGTTTGCTCCGAGGCCGTAAGCGTCAAAATAAATTAATAATAAAATGGTTTTATCTGCTTATATTGAAGGACAACTCTTGTTTCTAAAATGATAGAATGAAGTTCTTCTATTGACCTGTATAGGTTTCGATTTTTTAGTTGTGTAATACTGGGAATAATAAAAAAATTATAGAGTGAAGTAGAGAATAGGAAAAAAGATACCAACTATTAACGAAATAATATATAAATTTGGTTAGGTAGAGAGAAGAGTTTGAACGGAGGAGGTGAACGCTTAATGCGTTATATATTTTCGTTATATTTACATGAATTTCAAAAAAATCAGAATCTAACCACAGAAGTAAATAATATAATAAAAAATAAATAAAATTAAACATCTAAAGAGGTTTCGCTGCCGACTCGAAGGGATAATTGGACGGGAAGTAAGAAAAAAACAAGATTAAATTAATATGCCGCCATCAAAACGACCCAACAGTTCTTAATTACGTTTATACTTACGTATTTTTTTCTACAAGTACAGAAATCATACTACAAGTTATAAAAAGTATTATACGGCTTGTAGCAGAGCAAGTTTAAAATTGTATTTGGTTTTAAAATGTATTTAAAAATATTGACCTTGAAAAACCAGTGAAACTGTTATTCGTAAAATAACGAAAATGTTGAATAACTCAACTGTCTTCAGTTTGAACATTATATCGCAAACAAATTCAAATTTGATTTCAAAGTAAAAGCTTTTAGGAAGTTGAATGAAGATTCTTTTAACAAATTCATAAATTCCTTTTGTATTTTAAGTAAATTTTGTTATACGATTGTTTGTTTTGCACGATACTCATTTATCAGTCAAACTTAATTTTGACTACGAAATATGATTTACATTATTTATGAAAACAAATAACTTAAGTAACAATATAATTTTGAGTGTATTAGTGAATTTTCTTTGATTTCTAGAACATTTAAAATGATCATTTTTTTTCTATAATAATATAAAAGATATTTTTATGACGGCCGCTTCACTTTAATGGTTATTTGAGATTGCCACTGTAATCAGGTTTCTGACCTAATACGTGCGAAATTGTTTTTTCCGCCCCCGGCATTATGCTAAAGAAAAATCATTTGTGAAAGGCTATCATTCTGTAGAAATTACTTTATCTTTTTAATGACACTACCTTTTTTCATAATAAATATAGGAAAATCAAGATGCGAAGTTCCTTACTAAAAGTTGTGTAGTTTTTTATTTTGCTTAAATTAGCATAATGTTAGTATTTACATATGAGATGTAGATATGTGACTCTTTGATATTTTTACTCTTGTCTAGAAAGGTGTAAATGATAAAACATTTCAAGCAGTTCTGAATCGAGTTATCGAGAGTAATTGAGTCGTTCTTATATACAAATCAAAAAAAGACTTTTACCAGTAATTTTTATAATAAAACATAAATATTAAATAGAGAATACTTGATACCAGTTACAATGCTTTAACCAATTACTGCCAGCCATACAAATTAAATTCAAAGTTTTGTAAGGGTTTATTAGCAAAATATGTGGCTGAAATATTTTTAGTCTTGTACATTGCGAATTGTGATAATTTTTCAATGAACAGGCATCTAAGGCAATGGAAAGTTGCTAATATATTCCAAATAACCAGCAAGTCTCCATATAAATAACTAAATTTTATAACATACTTTTAATATATATTTAATATTCTATGACATTCGGCCTCACTGATTCACCCACGACTTCTGACATAGTCATTTTATGGGTTTTTCCCTTCATAATATGAAGGTTAATGGATTACGAGAAACCTACATATGTACTTCGTAGTTTTTAACATCTTAGTTAATAAAAACATCTCTGGTCATATGTGTCATCTGTGAACAAGGTTGCAAAAGATGTGCACACGACCAAGGTCAAGGACCACATCTCTTGAAGTGGTCCTCAAGTCTTAAAACATGTTTGACCACGATTATAAAGGCATTGTTTCATCAAATATGTATTAAATGGCAGAAGTTTCAATTTCTCTTAATACAATTAATTCTGTATGTGGAGTTTGGACTAAAAATTATTATTATTTGGCGGCAATTTTCTCGTTTTAATAACATAGTTTTGTTTATACATTTTTCTCGCGAAGTATTTTCCATTCCATTAAGTTAATATTAATTTAATTAATGTATATTAAATGTTATAAAATATTATGGTATCTATAGAATTATTTAAATGTTTTGTCATACACAAAACAACAAATGTATTGTATGAAAATAAGAGACATTTCAATTCATACCTTGTTTTATGCATCATACCATTTTTGGTGTAACTGTATATAATATTACGTATTTGGAACTAATTGTTGTTCCGTATTCATTGAGTGAATTTTTATGTAAATCATGATCAGTTATTTTTCTACTCAAAAAATATATGTCCCATGTCTTTCAATATGTATACCTATTTATATCTTGTATGTTCTAGAAACTGAATTTAGTTGTTAATGAATATTTTCCAAAAAAATATTTGTTATGAATTTTCAGATTTTTTATACAACACAGGACTAATTTTTATCATAACCCAAACCAAAACTGTATTGGTCATATAATTCGATTAATTATTTGATTTGTTAAAAAGAGTGACATGAAACTTCTTAACGAATAAGTAATAAATAAAGTAAACTTGTTTGAAATGTCAATTAATACAGAAAAAGAAAGAACTACAACTAAACGTACAGCTATAAAACACTGCCGCGAAAATTCCTGCATATTCCATTTCATGACTACAATCTGTTTTTCAGGCGCGTTTAAAATAATCTATTTCTTTCATAGAAATTTCTCTGTCTTTAATAAACAATACGTAACATATACATTTACGATTAGTCCAATTTAAATTCGTCACACTACAAACACAGTGTTTTGCACTGTTTATACATAAATTTTAACGCATTGCTATAGACATTTAATTAGTAAATATTCTATTATAGGCTATGAAAACGAGAAACCATTCGTATGACGTCTCACATCGTCACGCAAACTTGTGGTAAGCACAATGTTTTATACAGAAAAGTATCTGAAATACCCTCGTCCACATATAAGCGTGCACAACGCGCGATCGTGGTCAATAGTTTTCGTGATACGATTGTGAATAGTGACAATGTTCTCTGTGGTGAGTGTGAAACATTAAGAACTTAATTTTACATGACAAATATTTATTATATGTTCTAGTTATTATATTATTTTCCAAAAGATAAAAAAACGTAAAGTATTTTAAAATACTATAAATTATCATTATTATTTTACTGTTCGTTTTTAAACAAATAAATTTTAGTAATAATTTCAATGATTTTAAATTAGCATGACAATTGTTCGTATATTACGAATTTATTTTATATGTTACGTGCCTTTTAAAATTAATTATTAAATTACAACTACTTTTCTACATTATATCTTTAACTTAATATTGAAATACGTTAAGTAATTCTTGTAAAACATTGTTAAATTTGCTTAATTTGGTCATCGCTTGCTTATGTTATAGAAATTACTGCTGTTGTTGAGTGTATCGGCTGTGTCCTTGGGCCAGCGTCTCTCTGACGGCGAAAGCTCAAGAAGTGCAGGTGGTTACGGTATCTACCGTCCCGGGTATAATAATTACCCCGGATACGGTGGTTACCCCGGCAACAATTACCCCGGATATGGAGGTTACCCCGGTCAATATCCAGGTGCAGGAATTAAAGATTCTAATTGTCTTATATTTAAAGCTTTCCAAATCGCCTAAAGATAAAATTTAATAAAATAAATCACTATATCATTGAACTGGACACAATGTCTTCTTTCCATAGATATATATCTTTATAATTTGGGACTTCTATTATAATTTATAAACCATATATTTATGAATAATAAACAAAAAAATTAAGTATAGGTATTGCAATTAACAGTTTCTTTCAGTTCTAATTTACATTAAATTGATTAAGTTTTCTTTTTAACGAAAAAAATTATGGACGAAAAGTTGCATTAAAATGACATTTAATAGAATTCTTGATGCATTAGTATATTCTATATAGGTAATAAAACCATTGCAATTCAATTTAACAGGCGGTTATAACGGATATCCGGGAGGATACGGCGGCTCTGGACAGGGATATCCCGGTTATGGTGGTATGTATTTATTTTACGGTTAATAAGAAACTAATATTAACTATATGTATACTAATACTAACTAGTAACTCATGTTGAGTTAGTAGAAATAACAGAGAATTAATTGTTTTAACACTATTTAAAGGCTTTTAACGTTTCACGATTAGCTGTACCTACATATTCTTCTTTATTAAAAATGTATGTATGTGATTTATATTAAATGTTGTCATATTGAGATTTTTTTTATTAAGAGATATCTGTTAAATCCAAGTATGCTTCGTTACACTTTAAATCTGATTTATTTATTGAAAGACCATCAATGCTCAGTACACGTGCAAATTATAAAATATATAAAACAATATGTAAGTAAGTATATATCTTTTAAAAATACGTTATAATTCTAACAGTGAATTTCTTCGATTCACTGTGGACCGTGCTTGTATGATTTAAAATTTGGCTAAATTATTATAGAAATTTAATTTTAATAATGAAGTAATATGTTAATCCAAAAAAAAATTGTTTCATTTCAATTTAACATTTATAAATATATTCATTATTATTTACTAATAAATCTACTGAGACATAATTCTACTGTATTATGTCTTTAATACCGTTAATTTATATGTAAACAAATATATGTATTAGTTTCATTCTTAAGAATATTTGCTGTTATTCTTTTTGTAAATATAGAATTCACGCAATAATCAAACCAAATAAAATTTTTAACCGTCATGGACAAGTGATTTATAAAATTATATTTTTTAAGACTTCAATATAGCGATGTCTTGTATAAAAATTTTATTGCTAAGAAATGGTTTTGACCAAAATCGAATTGGTTGTATTTTTTTCTATTTCTAGGAGGATATAACGGTTATCCGGGTTATGGTGGATACGGACAAGGATATCCGGGTTACGGAGGTATGAAATTTAGACAAATAAAATATCTTTATATGTATCACATATATGTCGTGTTAAGGGAAACCTACAATTTAATTATGATTTATCTTCTCTTTCCACTCTATACGTATTTATATGCAAAAACTAAATGTCTTTAACATTCCTTGTCAATCGTTATTCCATACATTTTGCGTTCATACGAAAAATACTTAAATGTATAAATTAGTACGGTTCTTTTGTATTCTATTGCAAAAACAGAACCCTTATAAACACACAATAACTACACATATACATTACAGCGTAGAAGAAATATATTTTTCATGTTGTAATATCTAATATACATTGGTAACACAATAAATCTTCTGTCACAGGTTACCGTCCTAACAGACCCGGTTATCCGGGTTTTTCTGGTTACTCCGGCTATCAACCCGGTTACAACAGACCCGGTTATCCGGGCAGCATTTTCGGCGGCTTCGGCGATAGTTTCGGTGATTTCTCACTAGGACGCAGAGCGGGCGAAGTGAAAAGGAATAGCGGATCACAATCATAGATTTAGAATGTTTGTATTAATAGTGTTATAGTAAGAGCTTTAATATATTTATATGTGATGAAGAAATAAAACTCAATACGATAATAATAATTTATTTATATATGAATCAACCGCTGAACCAATCTGATGTCATTGAGTTAAAGAACGAAGCGGCCCCGGATCTGGCGTTTGCAAAGTTTATTGGTAGTGACGCACTCATTATATTATCTGTTACATCGGGTTTCGTCTTGCTTGGACTGGCTGAAGGTTTTTTCTTAGCCTTTAAAACACACAAATTAAATTAAAGAATGTTCAAACTTCTATTGATAATATTAATAATAATTTATTTTAAAAGAAAACATAAGCAATGAACGCTAAAAAAACATTCAGTTTTTATATACACGAACTGTGTAAAGATGTTTTTCTTATACAAATAATTAATTTACATAATCTTTACACGCAATTGTCACTTTGACATGTATTATACGTCAATCCGTGAACATTCCTCAATGTGTCTGTCACTTAACGTCAAACAGTGACATTTCTATACTATGTATTATTAGATTTGAATTAATCAATTAATAATTCATTAATCAATTAATTATACATACCTTTATTATATTATATTATTAATAATTATTTACGCACAATTCAGTGAGACTGCAAATCTATTAGTAGGGAGTTTGCGTTAGACACAATGACAGTTGTCGAAACTTATATTTTTAGTTTGTTGTGAACTAATACACAGAGTTGAATATCGTTAATTAGGTAAATTAAGGTATATGCGTATATTTATACCGGGACTCAAAATTCACACTTTGACTATTGTCATTATTATGAGAGCTAAACATTTCGTGTGCATGCTCTAAAATCTAAAAAAAATTATAGTATTAATTCTAAGTAACACAAGTCAAGCCAACTCCGTAATTACCGTAAGTTTTACTATCGTCGAAACACATTGTAGATTTTTTCTGCATAATAAAGTAAATGATTAATGGATAATTATGTAAAAATAATCTTAAGAAAAAATAGATGAATGTTTCGTAGTATTTTCAGCTATAATTAAATACACATACATAAAACTGACTAAACAAGTTGTAAATATATGTACTGATTTTAGAATAGACATAAATTTTAAAATCATAACAAAAAATCAGTCAGTAAAAAAAGATATTTTTAACCAAAATAATTTCTTTTCAAAAATTCAATTATTTGCAGCGACGAACAAATGAATCGAAAAGATTAAAATGTAAGATAAGGTGTGACACTTGATTTATTGAAATATCAAACATTTTTGACTCTTCATACATCCGTAACAAATAAATTATATCATAAACGTAACATCATATCGTTAAATATAACACGCACATGCTTACTACGAGTTTACACTTTACATCTACATAGAAAAACGAAACGTTTCGCGTTTCTCATTCTATAGCATTAATAGTATGTAACAAATGTCATGATTGACAGTTACCGTTTGTAGTATGACGATGCAAACTTAAGCTAACTATACAAATATACCATAAGATGGTATAATTGCGCACACGTAATTTGACAATCCACAATAGATGTTTTGGTATCTTATATATGAGACGCGGGAAACGAGATTACACTTGCGAGCACTTAAATTGGACCCAAGGTACTTGTTAGTTGTTACTATTACGACTTTTTGTTATTGATAAGCATCAAGTGACCAGTTATTTTGCACTAAGTGTGCATTCTCAAACTTATCCCCACTACAATAAAAGCTTGCCAATACACATGCTTGTAATTATACTCAATGACCATCCTACCAAAATAAGTATAAACAGTCCCCGAATAGAGAATATTACACCTGTCAATATGACTTACTTTTTTATTAAAATGTACACATAACCTAACATGCCTATATATTTAAACGTATATCTACCTATATATACATATAGGCATTAAAAAATAACATTGACTCCAGCTATATGCATAATATGTATAACAATCAACATTATGACAGCTTCTAGATCCTACTAATATTATAATTGCGAAAGTTTGTGAGTGTGTGTATGTCTGTTATTTCTTCACGCTCAAACGGCTGAACCGATTTTGATAAAATTTTGTATACAGCAAGTTGAAGTCCAGGAATAGCACATAGGCTACTTTACATCCCGGAAATCCGCGGGGCGCAGCTGGTTTCATATAATTATGAATTTACACTTACCACCTTTTCCTTCTTAACCGGAACGGCAACCGGAAGTAGGGAGAACCAGGGCGCGTCAGCAGCGGCGAGGACCCGGGCGGCGCTGTCCGCGGTACCTCCAGAACGAATAGGCTTCGATAACGACTGAGGCTGACTTGTACTGCCCAGTAGAATCTGATTAAAATATTATTTGTTATTCAGAGGGTCTAACGAGACAAGATAATTTTTGTAAACATTGGTTTGTACTGCGTTATGTTTGGTTTTAGAATGGATCTTAAAAATTTTCGCAAGTAAAATACTTTCTGATACGTTTTCTAAAGAGTAAATTGACATTGCGCCATCGTAAATATCATTATCTAACTATCTATTACTATTTATCTATTCAATTTAACCGCGTTATAATTTATATACAAAAAAATGAATTACAAACAAAGTACTCACCATAACCCTTTGGACCGATCTCTTCAAACTAGTCTGTATATACGGATAAAACACATCATAATCGAACGGATCTATCTTATGTCTTAAGAATTCACATATATCTTGGGACACCTCCATTGCTTTGTTATCTCTTGCAACCATTAACAGAGTCAAGTGACGAACGTCCATTAGCAATTGGAGAGCGCATCTTTGATTTATGTCTTGCTCGTTTTCTCTTATGACTTTATTGTAATGTGCGAGCGAGATGGATATAGTTTTGTCTATATATCTTGAGTGTATTTCGCTCGGTAGCGTGTGAGGTACGACTTCGTCTAGTATGCGACTTATTGAATATAAATACTCCTGTAGTTTCATAGACGGACCGGCGGGTACTTTTATCGTTGATTCTAAAGGGTTGCCATCTTCGTCTTTTTCTTCTATTTTTATGACATCCCATTCCTAAAATATATTAAAGACATTTGAGTATTATAGTAACGATTGATAATCTATAATTTTTTTTATAATATATATTAAATTCAGTTAATACTCTCGGAATGAGATTCAAGATTTTCGCGAGTATTCCTTGAAATAAAACTAATATTTTCGGATTACTATGCGATTTTAATAATTTCAACGGCATACACCCGATGTTTCGGTTAGTTTGCGGCAACTGCAGCAATGTTGCTTAAAATCGCGTACTAAATCCTATAAATATTAGTTTTATTTTAATACCCTCGAAACCTGATTTATGAACACTATTTCTTTCGGAAATATTCATATAATTGTAAGTAGTATCTGTTAATAATTACTCATTATTTTATTAAAATAAAAGAATCATACAAACCATCATCAAATAATCTATATTGTCTTCCAAAGTGAACTTTTGCGGCAGACCGTTTGTTAGTTCGTTTATTTTAACTTCAGCTATATCCAACCATTTGTTCCAACAGAACAGGCAATTTTCTTTCAACACAGTGCAAATGTCGTTCCAAGCTTTCGTATCATCCAAGGTAATATAGCACTTACGTAGGCAAGGCATAAGGACTGTTATTGCTTGAGTGAACCTCGCTGTGTATACAGCGGTCGTCTTTCTTTGTAGTTCTGTAGATTGTAGAGTCGGTTCATCGAAACACGCCCTTATGTATTGTATTATACTGAAAATATTATAAATATTGAATATTACCTAATTTCATATAACTTACTATGAAGTGGATAAAAAATAAATTATATATAATATTATGTGATTGTCAATAAGGTATTCCATATAAATATTAAGTCATATCGTCGGCGATAGTGCAAATCCGCGTAACTACCATTGGATAATTCCGCGTATCTACATTAGAAGCAGATTATCAGAAGAAAGTTTGGGCTGAAATAATTTCTATATAACCGACTTTTAAGGAAATTTTTTCACAATTGGTAATTACTTAGCGTTTAATTATCATTTATATGTTTCAGCTTAAACTTTATTCTGATAATCTGCTTCCAATGTAGATACGAGGAATTGTCCCATGGTGGTTACGCGAATGGTAGACCCTGGCTAAAGCTGGGAAATTGCCAAAAAGAAGAAGAATTACACGGATTTGCACTATCTGCGATGATATATACTTATTAAACTATTCACCTATGTATATTTCTATCGGACGCCTCCTTCAAATACATTTCAATTTCCTCTTTGTCCGTGTAAACCTGGTCTAATTCATCGTCGTACAGATAAGTATCCCTGTCCTTCCTCTCGTACAAGTAGTCCTTCAAATCTTCTAGAAGTTTCTGTAACTCGTCATCTAAACTCTGACAGAGTTTTTGTAGTGCCGGCGTAAAGCCGCGGTCCTGGCGAGACATACCTGTAATTATTTTAGAATATATATACTAATATTGATTTCCAAATATTTCTTTCCTTTGTTTTTCTTAGTATATTTTGTAAAAAATGCATACGAATCTCTACAAGTTACATACTAAAACATGTTTTTTACAATTTTTGTTCATACATCTAATTGTTGGTTCCGAATTAACTCTAAATCGGCGACTCTAAACCTTATTGCGCTCGAATGCACGCGGTCTTTAATTATAACTTAAAAGTATATTAATAAAGTTCGTCTAAAAGAGGCACTTAACAATTCCTTAAAAAATATTTCTACCTCCTTTTGTTTTCATTCGAACATTACTAAGTTTCTTTTCTTCAAGGCACTATAATTTTTTGCTAATCCTACCTTTCATCAAACCTTCCATGACGCTAACAACTTCATTCCTGGACTCGATGACTGTATCTCCTATAAGGTCCTTCCAGACGAACCAGTTGATGTCCGCCTCCCTGTCGTCTGAAGCGACCTTACTCAGGTCTATTAATATCTGTGTTTTAAACGAGTCATTGATCTTCTGCCAGCGTGTGTCTATAATATTTCTGACTCTCGCCGTGAGTAGCGGTTGGAAGTAAGTACACCATATGTGTACTTCAGGTATACCGAGCGATGAACATATTGTAGACCAATTCTGAGGAGATTCTGGAAACATAAGTATATAATTATACAAATAATATATATGAAAAAATATATATGTCATTCATATATAAATTTAATATACAAAATTACATTTTCATTAGTTCAGTAGTTTTATTTTGAAAGATTAACATACATATATAGTTTTATATCAAATATATTCATTTTCTTTATTTTTGTGATTTTGTTTTTATATAATTTTTTTGTATAATTTTTTTTTCTCTTAATGTGTGTATGTCAATAAATGTTTTTTCTTTCTTTCTATATAAATAATATTACCAATCTTGAATGTCTCTTCTCGTATTTCATGTAAGACTCTAATTCTTGTTATATTTTGTAACAATGACGTCACATTCTCATGTATGAAGGTCTGCACCCATACACTCCAACGTTGAACACTGCCTGTCACTTGATCAGCAGCTAATGGGCTTAAATCCTTAGATAATGATAACCTGAAATTAAATTCACTATTAAATATAATGTACAAATATTGCCAATTAGCATAAGTGTCTTCAAATAATTCTACTAATATTATAATTGCGAAAGCTTGTGAGTGTGTGTCTATGTTTGTTACTTCTTCACGCTAAAACGGCTGAACCGATTTTGATAAAATTTTGTATACAGGAAGCTGACGTCCAGGAATAACACATAGGCTACTTTACATCCCGGAAATCCGCGGGAAACACCGCGGGGCGCAGCTAGTAGCTCAAAAAAATATTCAAAGTAATATGAAGCATAAATATACATATTCATTTGAAATTTTAAATCATTGTTCATGATTTTCTCACCTATAATTGGTTATAGCAGATGGCAATAATTTCAATGCACTTGCATCACTAAACTGTATCAATTCTATCAATGGTTGAGAATCGGGTCTGTATAACTCTTTCAATTTCTCCAAAACTGCACCTCCTTGGTTTTCTTTAAAAAAATATATATTTTAAAGTTAATACTAGTATAATCTTTTTTGTTAAAACTCCTTAGAATATATCCTTGTATAGTGCGTTTGATTTAAGCTGAGCTTTGCATTTGTGTGAGTTAACACGTATAGTGTAGGTGTGAAGCCGCGTTCTTTTCTAGTTTTGAACCCGTTTGTACTGCTTTTACTCCGCCCCGCACCTTCCTCACTTCACCTTTTGTACTGGTAGCAATATCAAATGTTGAAAACACAATGTCAAGTGAATAAGAATTTGTATAGTTTTTTTTTTTTAATGGGAAAAGGGGGCAACTGAGCAGACGGCCTACTTGATGGTAGGTAGGTACCGTCGCCCATGAACATCCGCAACGTAGATTTGCGGATGTGTTGCCGCCCTTGATTGGGGAAAAGGAGGAGGAAAAGGTGGGAAAGGGAGGAAAAGGAAAGGTTGGGAAAAGGGAAAGGGCAACCGGCTCTCTCACTCACCGGACGAAACGCAGCCTTTAAAGAATACTTTACGCCGATTTTCTGTGAGAGGGTGGTACTTCCCCGGTCGAGCCAGCCCATATTCGAGCTGTAGTAAATTGACTACAGCTAGGCTCTACCACCTTTAAAATTCTTTTTAAAGGTTTTGTCAAAATTCTTATCAATAATTTTTTTCCACAATATTAATAATAAGTATTTCCATCTGCACTTTTAGATTTTGCTTATTTTATAGCCCTTATGTTATGTATCTATTTAAAATATAATAAAATTGAATTCTAAAAGTTTTTTGTCTAACTCTACTTAAAGTAAAAACTTTCACTCACACAAAATATGCAAAGCTCAGCTTAAGTCTAACGGACTATGCATGTGTTTAAGATTTAAATATTTTTAAATATTGTAACAGTGTAGTAAAAACAAGGTTCTTACCAACAAAACAAGCATAAACCAGTACAACAGTCTTCATAACAATTTTAACACTATTAATTATCTTCTTCTTTATCTGTGCTTTGACATCTTCAAGTATCTGAGCTAGGTCAAATTGTAGCGTTAATTTAAGACTTGTATTACTATGGAGGTCAATCAGAGTGTTTAAGAGTTCCACCATTGATTGAGAGTCCAGAAGATAAAGACCTACCAAACACGAACATGACACCTGGAATATAAGCATAAAAATATATAGACAATGAATATATGTATATTATTTTTCTTCTTCTACCTGGCAAATTCCCAGCTTTAGCCAGGGTCTGCCTTACATGTTGTGAATAGTTTTGGCTAATTGATTTTACGACCGGCCGGCCTGACATCAACCCTCTTTGGGAATACATTAATCAGTGATGTCTAAATAAACTTTGAAAGTACATATGACTCGGAAAAATTACATTGATACTTGACAGGATTGAACCCACGCCCTCATGCATGAGAGGCGGGCCTTTTAAACACTAGGCCACCCCTGCTTTGAATATGTGTATATTAAAACTTAATATTTATTTACCTCATTTAATGAGTTAAATATATGGATACAGAGATGTATACATATCAAAATACATAAACATTTTGTTTATTTTATTTATTCATTCATTTCAAGTAACAAAAATTATAAAGTTATACTTTTAGTTATCAATATATAATTGGTGCTAAATGTTTTACACTGTAGTTATGTTATTAAATATTTGTGTTAATTTCTAGATATATCATATCTAGAAAGTAGAATGTGGATAATTAATTTTTTATTACCTCAGTACTGATATCAACATCTTGCAATTTTTGGCCGCACATTTCAACAATGGTATTGCTCAAGTGAGAAATAGAATTCCATTGTTGTTGAACAAGTTGGTATAGTGACTTGCCGGGGTTTGTATTCCTATCGGCTATTTGTAATTGGAGACCTGGAAATATGATTGTATGACTTATTATAAAATAAACTTAGACTCAATTAAATTTTAAATACATATTGTCAAGATTAAATGAGTTTTGATGACTGATAGGCTAATAGTTAAAAATGTAGTAAGTTTAATTACGTATACATGCTGTTGTACTTAAGCTAAAACTGTACTCTATTCAAGATATTGTGCAAAAAGATTATAATTATATATCTGAGCATTATACACATATCTTCTTCTTCTTTATACAGGGTGACTGGTGAATTACTATCGATACTTGAGGACGTGATATTTGACGATCATATATGACAAAATAAAAATTAATATAACATAAATATTAATAACCTTCTAAGTAAAGTTAACCAAAAGTTATGTAATTAATTACGCATCGTGTGAACACCCTACAGATTAGGTATACATCCACACTCACACATACGTGGTGTTGTATCAGCACGCCGCCGCACGCGTCCACACTTGGAACACTTGGAACGAGTCAACACTTTATTTATTTATACGGAAATTTTGTCAAAAATTAAGTACCTATTTTATTTACATAATTCGAATGAGAATCATGTACCGAGTATTCTCCTTAAATATTGATAGTAATTCACCAGTCACCCTGTATATGAAAATGAATTGCTGTTCTTTAGTCTCACTAAAACTCGAGAACGGCTGAATGGATTTATCTTATCTTAGTCTTGAAATGTTCGTGGAGGTTCAGGTAAGGTTTTAAACCTAAGCTGAAACAAATTGATTCATATCCGAGAAAACCCCAAGGACAGCCCTTTTCTAGTTCCCATAATAAAATTTTTTTGACATTAGATTTGACAACTAACTAATATCTCAATCATTCAATTCTGTTTCAATAACAGGAACAATTTAATAACTACCAATACCTGGTATTTAGGACGGAATAGAGTTTGGCCCGATCAGCTATACATATATTACTAATGACGAAATTAATGCAGACGAAGTCACCCAAAAACTAGTATATATATAAATGAAATAAAAATTATATAAAACCAATTTAAATACTGACCAGTATTTATATGTCGAGCCATAATAAACAGTTGTGCTGCTTTTACAAAATCATTCACTTCCAGACTTTTCCAGATTTTCTCAGGTATTTCCATTAATAGTTTTATCTGCACTGAGATAGAATGCACTGGGTCCATACTGGTCTGGGAACTAAAAACTTTGTTGATTTAATTAATTAGAACATTATTGATATTAAATTGATATAACTTTTTTACTATCAAAAATAATGCTAGATAAGTTGTTAATATTTGTGAATGAAGTTCACTGTGGTTCTTTTACCTTTTATTGTTAAGATAATATTCATTTATACATACTTTTGTAAGTGCTTCTTCTCATTGATCTTAAATCCCACTAAGTGAGTGTCATGCAAGTTCTTACAGGTGGCTATCATGTCATTAATATGTTCTAAAGTACTAGAAGTTGTGGTTAACATTTCTTCAATAGTATCTGCAGCATATATTAGGTCACGATATCTTTCGCTAAAATAAAACATAATGTTATAGAACTTTCTTGATAGAATTAGAATTAAAGTTCGGTAAAGGCAAATATTTGAGGAAAAATTATCTTTTAGTAACTATGAAATTTTATTACACACCCAACCATAGCCCGTAATTCTTCTCTTTTTCTTTCGATTTCATATTGAAGTTTCTTTTGAACATTATCTATTTCACCGATGGAATGTGTTTGAAACAGTTTGTCTGGGACTATATCTAAAAGATTTGGTTCCTGCATATTTACAATCTCGCATGTATTCACTTTGATTAAATATATACACAATTATACCCTAAAATAAATAGCTTAATGTTTAATTACAAGCTTCCGTCCACATATATTGTCACTATTCTTATACTTTTGACAGTGACAATTGACAATTCACATCTTCCAAAACTGAGATATTCGGATGCTCTATTAAGATTTTTTGAGATATATTTATTTCTTCTGAAAACATTGACAAATATTTTTTATGTAAAATTTTAATTTGCAAAATAGACTTGTAAGAAAAAGTAATGCTTGAAACATAAACCGTCAACAAACGATTATTTTCACACTTCAGCATCTGGAGCCACGCACTTTGTATGGTTTGAATTTTTAGGTCTCTAAAAAATTAAGACTAAAATTTCTCGAGAAAGCAGTCAAACTTAACTAAATAAGGAAGGTTTATGTATTGAAGTTTTTTTAATCACAAACAAAAAACAATGAGTTAATTCTTCATGTTTTGTTAACAGCATTTCCTTCCAGTTTGTTACGTAGGTACGCTCTACATATTATACATATGAGAAAAAAAATTAACATCGCCGGGGCGACATCTTTGTATCGGTAAAATATCGTATAGCGAGTGATGCCGCTGACTCCGCGGAGTCAACACCGAGCCGTGTGGACCAGAAAATTTCACGTACCACACAAGCAATAGAATGCCGTTGTCATCCTAACATCGGGGCAATCATGTAGTCTTAGGTGTAGGTTATAAGTTTTAACATGTAATTCGTATTTTAATATACATATAAGAAAGTTTTGTAGTTTTCCTGGAACCTCCGGTTGCCACCCTTTACAATGTTTTACAGTTATTTAAGGGGAACTTTATTTTCTATTAATAAAAAGTGCGAGATTTTATTTATTTAGTCTGTAAACAGCTACTTTTACCATGACATCCATCTATCTTTTTTGGAATGTACGAGGGAAAAACGCTGTTTCAATTGTTTTTTGTTATAGGAACGCCATTTTTACTCTAAGGGACTTCGAAATCTTATACATAACAAAATCTTTTGTAATTTACAAATAAAAAATTTATTAAATTTCTTTCTTACTTTACTTTTCAAACATACAATTATTAAGATCACATATTAGATCTCTTGTTACATACGCGCTATATGTTAAGAAATAATTGAACATCACGGGAGCAAAATCTTTGTTGACGCTGAAGATTTCTAATAGCACACAAGCTATGAAATGTCTTTGTTATCCTAATATCGGGGCAATCATGTAGTCATAAGTATTAACATGTAATTCTCATTATAATATACATATAAGTAAATTTGGTAGTTTTCCTGGAACCTCCAGTTGCCACCCTGATATAATTTAATTCTCATCAATATAAATAATATTATTATAGCGAGGGTTCACATATAAAATAAAACTGCACTTTACAATGGACCATTTATTCACCCAGTCAACCATTGGGATGTAAAATCTCAGTCTCAATACACCACCTCATACACTGTGGCCTTTTTGTCGCCGGAACCCGTCGCTATGAACTTATCATCAGACGATATATCACAACTCAGCACCGAAGATGATTCCTTTGACTGGGAAATATAATATATATTAATATATAGCTTATGTGTACAATACATATCGTTGGGGATAGTGCAAATCCACATAACTACCATTGGATAATTCCGCGTATATACATTGGAAGCAGATTATTAGAAGAAAGTTTAGACTGAAATATTTCTATATTAAAGAGTTTTAAGGTATTTTTTTCACAAATAGTAATCATGTAGTGAATAATTTATTAATAATTGTGAAAAAACTAGCTCAAAAGTCGTTAATTTAGAAAAACTTTCAGCTTACAGTTTTCTGATAATCTGCTTCTAATGTAGATACGCTCAATCCAATGGTAGTTACGCGGATTTGCACTATCCCCGACGATATGTAATCACTTTTTTATAAATACACTTATTGTTAATGAATAAGATAACTTAGTTAAATATTTATACCAAAATTTTATACTATCGAACAAAATGTTTTAAACTCAGAAACTAATAGGTGTACAACTTTGCTTCCGCCGTTTTGCAATAGATGGTTGTAGCGGTAAGTGGTTATCGAAATAAATAGATCGTAGATGTCATACAATAAGCTTAGGCATTTATAAACATAACGCCATCGAAATATTAGTCGATTTGTGTCTGCATCATAAAGTTATTCTCGATTAAACATGTCAGCTTACGAGCCAAATTCTCGTCATTTGCGGGAGGTTTTAGTTTTCTGCTTTTATATGAAGAAATCTGCGGCTGAGGCTCATCGAATGCTCTCAAATACCTATGGTGAGGCTGCTATTAGTGAAAGAACGTGCCGAGAGTGGTTTCAACGCTTCAAGAACGGTGATTTTGACGTCGAAGACCGGCATAGCGGTGGAAGAGAGAAGGTTTTCGAAGATGCAGAATTGGAGGCATTACTTGATCAAGACTCGTGTCAAACGCAACAAGAATTGGCAGGATCATTGGGAGTGATGCAACAAGCCATTTCAAAACGCCGAAAGTCATGGGAATGATTCAGAAACAAGGAAATTGGGTGCCGTACGAGTTGAAGCCGAGAGATGTTGAACGGCGTTTGTTTGCTTGTGAATAGCTGCTTGCAAGGCAAAGACGGAAAGGATTTCTGCATCGCATTGTGACTGGAGAAGAAAAATGGGTTCATTACGATAATCCCAAGCGCAGAAAATTATGGGGATATCCCGGCCATGCTTCCACGTCGACGGCCAAACCGAATATTCACGGTTCCAAGGTATGCTCTGTATTTGGTGGGACCAGCTCGGCGTAGTGCATTATGAGTTGTTAAAACCGACTGAAACAATCACAGGCGATAGTTATCGAACGCAATTAATGCGTTTGAGCCGAGCATTGAAAGACAAACGGCCGCAATACAGCGGGATACATGATAAAGTGATTTTACAGCACGACAATGCTCGACCCCATGTTGCGAAAGTGGTCAAGACATACTTGGAAACGTTGAAATGGGAAGTTCTAACCCACCCGCCGTATTCTCCAGACGTTGCTCCCTCGGACTATTACTTGTTTCGATCAATGGCACACGGCCTGGCTGACCAGCACTTCCGGTCTTATGAAGAAGTTAAAAATTGGATCTATTTGTGGATCGCTTCAAAAGATGACCAGTTTTTTCAACGCGGGATTCGTATGCTGCCCGAAAGATGGGAGAAAGTAGTGGCCAGCGATGGACAATACTTTGAATCATAAATGTATAACCAGTTTTTTACAATAAAGCCTCGAATTTCGGAAAAAAACGGCGGAAGCAAAGTTGTACACCTAATACCAAGAATATATACCAATTATAATAGTAAGATATAATTACCTGGAATATACTAGCTCCGTAAGGTGTCCGCCACGCGTTCAATAAGTTATCCTTCCCAGTGGAGACGAACCATTTACCGCTCGCAGCAAATCTTAGTGACAATACACAGGACTCGTGTAGAACAAGTTGATAGCGATCCGGTTTACCAGCATGTAATACTTCAACATGACTATTCTCCATGCCCACGGCCAGCCAAGAACCTGTTTAGGAATATAAGATATTAATATTAATGGATATAAGAACTTTTTAGTTAGTTATGGAATTAAAACCAAAATAAATGTATGTGAAGTAGAAACTAATAAAAATAATTAAATATATATGTATACGCCAATAATTCAATATCGTTGTATACGAAATAACACCATAAGTATTTTTGACGAAGTAGTTACATTATTTTAAATATACCTAGTATGTAAAATTTTTGTCAGCAATACTGTTATTATTAGTGACCAACTTCACGATTACAAAATCAAATGCGAAATTATCTGTAGTGTGATATAAAAACACTATTAAATATGTACATTAAAAGGTTACAGCTTGGAATTCTTTTGAATGAATTTTACATTACATATTTTGTAACTTGACCCTTATATACATATAAAAATAAATTATTAATAACATAATTATAAGAATCTAGTGTATATAACTATACAAAACTTATATTACCCGTAGGACAGTATCCCAATGAGAATATCTGACTAGAGAAGTCGTGTTGGTGTAACTGTCGTCCTTCCCTTAGATCCCAGGACCGTACGGTGTTATCAAGACCGCCCGTCCAAAGGCGGGATCCGTCCGGACTTATGTCTATACAAGACGCTCCGTCGGTGTGACCTGCAAATATATATACGAAAGATACATTAAATATATCCCTACTAATATTATAAATGCGGAAGTCTGGCTGTCTGTTACGCTTTCACGCCTAAACCACTGAACTGATTTTAATGAAATTTGGTACAAGATAGAGTTGACCTTGTAAAAGAACATAGGATAGTTTTTATTCCAGACTTTTGAAAGGTTCTCTTGGAAACGCGATATAACCGAAGTCCACGCGGGCGAAGCTGTGGGCGGAAAGCTAGTTAAATATATATGGTGGACAGATAGCTTGGAACTAGGAGACAGACATAGGATATTTAATTCTGTTCGATCGAAAAAGAACAAAAACTTAATAAATTCCAAAATCTGGTTTTAGACGGCCTCTAGCTCCGAATAAATTTCACCCCGTCAGCTATACATATACATATAGTACTAATTCCGTAATGGATGTTGACAAAATCGCGAATAAGAAATAGTATCATATAAATATGTGTTTAAGGTAAATATATAATAAAGGTATGTTTACCTTGAAATTGTCTAACTAATGTTTGATTGTGGAGATCCCATACTGCTATGTTGCCATCTGAACAACAACTGAAGCAAACCTGAAACATAATGAATATTATAATTTTATGTAACCAACTGTCTTTTCTCAATTTACTTTTTTCTTTATAAATAAAAGCAATAAAGTACACTGTAAAGTATATAGTATTTAAGAGAATTTTCTATTAACTTAAACTGGATTTAGAGCTGTATAAATAAGTATGTACTAATAGAGGAGTATATTGTTTTGTAAATAACAAAGTTTCATTCAAATCGGCAAAGTAAATATATGAGGTCAAAATAAGTTCAATGTACTTAGACAACAATATTATTATGGATATATAGGTACCATTAACCCAAGTATTTCATTAATAGAATTACAATACTATCATGTGAATAACTTTATGGAAAACTGCATACTCTTACTTATATTTTATTATTAACTTTATGAATGTGACACTATAAAGCTAATGAAATATTTCAATCCAGATCCTTTACAAATTAGATATTTATAAGCAGTCTTATTAGAATATTCTGGATATAGTTATGAATCCTTGTCTATGTATAATGAAATGTTTTTTATACTTCTATAGATTTTAATTTAGTTCATAATTACCTTGGAGTCTGGGCTTATAGCGAGTGCATAACATGCGGGCGCGGATGAAGTGAGCTCTGCGCGGATTCTTGGTGTCGGAGATGAGAGGTCCCATATAGATAAGTTGGACGCCTCACCTCCTACTAGAAGTGTACGACCGTCGGGCAACAGCTTCACTGAACGAATGTAGTTATCCCTTTGCTGTAATATTATATAATATATTAATACATTTATTATATTGCTCATATTTTGATAATGAAACCATTATTAAAATACTTTTCTGTTTTTTATATCATCGAATTTTAATAAATAATTGTGATATGCAGTGGCGGCTGGTGGGTTATCGAACTGGTGGTTCACTTTACTAAAATATTGACAAAAACAACAATTGACATAAAATATGTTTATTTTTTGTACATTAAATCAATGCGACGACATTTTTCTGTAGCGAAATGTTCTATCACCTTTTTATTAAAATCTGGTATTGTATTATAAATGCGTCAAATCCTTGATTCCAGTTTCTGTCCAAATCGATTCTCCGCCAAAAATAATGCAAGGAAAACAAAAGAATGCATTAAGACGCTCACATCCACACAACCATTTCTTTCTATTATACATTTCACTTTTAAAACTTCGTATAAATGCTTTATTTTTCGATTTACACTTTTGTTTTAAATTTAAAAAGGGCCGTGGCGGCCCGGCCAATTTTATGTTCACTTTACTTTGAAAAATTTTGTTATTTTCTTTAATATAATCAATATTTATACTCATTTTCAACTAATAAAAAACACAGTACAGAATAAAAGTTCTATTATAGAAACGAAATAAAAACTAAAACGAATTACGGAAATAATTATAAACAATAACGAATTAACTCGTCACGCATACAGTGAAAGTTGAAACAATACCAATAACGATTAACGAAATGTCAATCATAGCACCCATCCTTTCGGCCGGCCCCTTGCCGGCCGGCTCAATACGTCATACATCGGGTGCTCTCGGTAACCTTCGGCCGCTTCGTGCGGCGCTCGAGAACCGACTCGTTACTCGGTACATTTCTATGAACTATCTTTTGTCTCACGCGTCAGGCGTATTGATGCGTGTCTCATACAAGATGTATTAGCAGTCCTCGTGCACTCGCCGGAGCGCACGATATGAGTTTAGTAAAGCGCTCAAACTTTTTGACCATAATTGGAAATTAAATTTTTTATACCTTTTTGTATGTTTAAATAATAAATATTAAAATGGTAATTTAAAAATTAAGATGACATAATATTTTGTAATTTTTAAATATTTTGAATTGGTGGTTCAGCGCACGGGCGCACTTAAGGTACAGCCGCCACTGGTGATATGTAATATTATACAGCTAATATACAACCCTTCCAAAATATTGGATCGTCAAACAAATATAAAATTTCAAGTTAATTCATAAATTATTCATCAATCATTGCACTATATGAGTATCAAGATAAGTTTATGAATGCAAACTAGCATAATTGTTCCCATTACTGGGTTATTCAATACAATATCTCCACAAGGTAAGGTATAGCCATATTAATATCAACCAACCAAGCAGTCCAACTGTGATAACGGTTCCATATTAGGTCCGGGGTTAGTGATATCCCATAGTTTAACGCAGCCCTTCCCGCCGGTGTATGCGTGTCGCGAGCCGCCGCTGAGCGACAGAGCGACTGCGCAGACGACCTCGCCGTGTGGCAGAGCTGCCACTTGTCGCGCCCCGCGAGGTATGCCCGGCCCCACTAGCGCGTCTGCCGGGAACGGCACTGGCTGAAGGGGCCCGCCGCATGTGTGGTATGAATATGCACTGAAAGATGTTAAACGATATTATTATATTGGCTGGTCTTGGGATTAAAAGGTTGTATTGCAAATATTCCTAAACTACTGGCCTTTCATAATATTCAAAATATTCACAATAGTATAAAATATAAATAGGTTTAAAAAAGTTCATTTCTAAAAAGAACAAAGTTCGCTAACAAGGAAATTTTAAAATTATAACTACAATTAAGATATTACAAATAATAAACAGTAGTGATATTAAACGAGATCAGTGAAATCATCTAATGTATGGGTTCTTAATCGTTTTTTAAATATATTTAGAGATTTTGATATACAGGTGAATTACTATCAATATTTAAGGAGCATACTCGGTACATGATTCTCATTCGAATTATGTAAAAAAAATGGGCACTTAATTATTGACAAAATTTCCGTATAAATAAATAAAGTGTTGACACATTCCAAGTGTTCCAAGTGTGGACGGGTGCGGCGGCGTGCTGATACAACACCACGCCTCCGTACGCGTATGTGTGAGTGTGTGTGTATACTTAATCTGTAGGGTGTTCACACGATGCGTAATTAATTACATAACTTTTGGTTAACTTTACTTAGAAGTTTATTAATATTTATGTTATATTAATTTTTATTTTGTCATATATGATCGTCAAATATCACGTCCTCAAGTATCGATAGTAATTCACCAGTCACCCTGTATACACCTTTAAAGTGTTCACATTTGGAATATCAATTACTTTTATTTCACGAATACAATTCAGGTTTTGTATCCAAAGGACGTCACGTGGACTACTTATAGAAACACAAAAAATATTTTTAGTACATTTTTTCTCTAATAACTATAATATCTAAGTGTTTTTAGTGATATCTAATCTATAATCGTACGGTTTAGCGGGAGGTAGTCCGTTAGTCCTAGCCAGCGGTCCTTCATAAGGCAGGGGCGGTCTGTAACCGTAAGGCGGGAACGCGTACCGACCCGTCGGGGTAGGAGCTCGGGCTTTGCCCCCGGGAGTTCCTGGTTTCTCCTGAAATATTAATAAAATAAACCTTTAACACGTCTGACATACATTTTTATAAGATTAATATATAAATAATATAAGGAGAAATTTTATTAATTTCCTTCAAGTGCAATATTAAACCTACAATTGGTGTTTCAGTTACCATATAATACTATATGTATTAATAACTGTTAAAGCTGAATAAAATTATATATATGATATAATGTACTATATGTTGGAGATAATTCATATCTAGCTTGTCTGTGATCACAATTGTTGCAAAGTAACCGAAACATCAGTAGTATGTAGTTTTATAATTATTAAAAACGCCTTGTAATTCATATATATAGGTTTCATATATATGTATGTAGTATTATTTGAACATATATCTTACGTCTTTGGAGCTCTTAGGTGTGGACCTACTCGAAGACGAGCCGGACCTTGAAGGAGGTCTGGGGCCGTTCTCCGCTCTCTCTCCGCTCTCCGTCCTAGCGCCAGGAGACCCACGCTCCTCCTGGAGGGAAAATAACATATTAATCCCTACTAATATTATAAATGCAAAAGTAACTCTGTCTGTCTGTCTGTCTGTTACGCTTTCACGCGTTTTCAACTGATTTTAATGAAATTTGGTACAGTATAGAGTTTACCTTGAGAAAAAACATAGGATATTTTTTATCCCAGACTTTTGAAAGGTTCTTTTGGAAACGCGATATAACCGAACTCCACGCGGGCGAAGCTGCGGGCGGAAAGCTAGTAACATATAAGATGAATTCACCGTTCGTGTGCCGGGTCCATCGTTGCAGGGAGAGGAGCTTCAACAGTGCCTGGGACTTGCGACCCAAGCACTGTTGAAACTCCACCGTCTAAGCTTCTCTATCTCAGATTATTAATTATGACGAAAATTATATTTTGGTATTTATATCGAAATGATTATTAGGTGATAATCTTCTTCTTTGCTTTTATTAGGTGGGGTTGGCTCTCCTTAATTTTTTGCGCCAGAACAAAGTATCCTGGGTTGTCGCTAATAATATTTTTTTGCTTTTGGTGACAACCAAAAATTATTAAAAAATCTATGAGCCTCTTATATATATAAAGTAACGAATTATACATATTTTAAGCATATTGTTAAAAAAAGTATGTAATTGTATAAATAAATATTAATATTTTTAGTTTTTACCATTAACCAGAATTGTTCTAATTGAAAGATTCCTCATCCTAATTCTATAACATTTTTAAGCCACAGAACAAATATCCTTACCTAATTTTATAAATTGTATCCAGATTTTTCTGTAATGATACACACAGTGGCGGCTGTACCTTAAGTGCACTCGTGCGCTGAACCATCAATTCAAAAGGTTTAAAAATTACAAGATATTACTCCATCTTTATTTTTAAATTACCATTTTAATATTTATTTTCTTAACATACAAAAACGTATAAAAAATTAAATTTCTAATTATAGTCAAAAAGTTTGAGCGCTTTATTAAACTAATATCTCGTGCGCTTCAGCGAGTGCACGAGGACAGCTAATACATCTTGTATAAGATACGCATTAATACGCCTGACGCGTGAAACAAAAGATAGTTCATAGAAATGTACCGAGTAACGAGTCGGTTCTCGAGCGCCGCACGAGCGGCCGAAGATTACCGAGAGCACCCGATGTATGACGAATTGGAATTGAAAAGAATAAAACTTCTCCGAAATACCTCGCACTTGCTAAATGCACTTTCTGTGCTTAGTATTGAATAAAAAATATATACAAACAATACCTGATTTTAATAAATAGGTGATTGAACATTTCGCTTCGGAAAAATGTCGTTGCATTAATTAATGTATAAAAAATAAACATATTTTATGTCAATTGGTTTTTTGTTGCATTTTCTAATTTTAATATTTTAGTAAAGTGCACCACCAGTTAGATAACCCACCAGCCGCCACTGGATACACATATACAAAAAACTTCCCTGACTGATGCATTCTATGGCTATTAAGTTTAGGGTATTTATTATTACATGCAGACATACATAAAAATAGATATCCTACTAATATTATAATTGCGAAAGTTTGTGAGTGTGTGTATGTTTGTTACTTCTTCACGCTCAAACGGCTGAACCCACTTTGATAAAATTTTGTATACAGGAAGCTGACGTCCAGGAATAACACATAGGCTACTTTACATCCCAGAAATCCGCGGGTAACACCGCGTGGCGCAGCTAGTAGATATATAACATCTATTGTTCCTATCGGTTCCTAGGTATCCTCACCTCGTTAGCCACATCCACTACTAGGTCCTGATCGCTCTTCTCAGCATCACTGTCCTAGAATGTAATATAATCACTGTAGTCACCATTAATATATTGATATATGGTAAAAGCGACAGCCAGCTATGGAATGTTTAAAGCGTTTATAAGCTCGGAGTTGTTGCCCGACTGTTGTTTAAAGGAATATTGTTCATATTAATAAAACTGTCTAAGAAACGAAGTTCTTGTCATACTAAATACACACAAACACACACGTACACACATACATTGGATAAAAGAAAGAGTGGTAAAGAAAAATTAAAATATACTCGTTTGAAGGAAACTAAAAGGCTATTTTTTCCGGGCCGTCAACAAGTGTAATTAATTTATGTGCAAAAAATTTGGTAACAAAATATTATACATTAATGAGAAAAAAATAAGGATTTTCCGGTATTTCATTAACGGAAGAAACTATACCAGTTAAAGAACTTCGTTCATAATTGATTTTGTACAAGTAACAAACAATTAAAATTATTTTACACTATGATATAATATTTTCACTTTAAAAATCAATTTAAATTTCAAACCAAAAAATTGTGTAAATTTTTCTTTTACCAAGCCTTTTTCTTCAAAAATAAAAATTGTAACATTTTAATTCCATCCATATACTTTATATTCAAGGTAATTTAAGAGCTGACAAGAAGAAAAAAACTCTAGTGATGTCTTTTCTTATCGATATCTTTTCATCGATAGTTAGTTTGTGTTCATCGATATCTCCCAATCAACAGCCGGGCAGTTCCTGTGCGTCAGTAAACAACAACACATACACTACACAGACTCACATGCCCCACCTTCTCCTCCTTCCTCCTCTTCACGTCGCACGTCTCAGCCTCGGGCGACCTCGGACGGTACTTCTGTTCGCGCTCGTGTGGAGACAACGAACGTCTCTGCTGTAATATATAATGACGTCATTATTATACAATATAATATGCATGAATTTTCATTATGAGTATAATGGTATTCATTTAAATGAAACTAATATTTAGGAATTACTAGGTGTTATTTTTAATCTACATACTCCCGACGATTCGGTGACTTTGCAACCGTGATTACAGACAGACGTAATGAGAAATGTATAAATTTTCAGTTTTACTAATTTGATGCTTACATAAAACAATGTTATGTGTACGTGGTTAGATTAAAATTCATAATGAAAATTTTTTATGAAAGATTCACAACTACGAAGCATATTGTCAAATTTTGAAAATGATTCTGCCAGCTAAACTATAGTGCCATGATTCGATGGATGATTTCAGATAGAAGTATTTTATATTTTATATTTATTTCAATGAGTTAAACAATCTTTTGAATGATATTTAAAGCGTGTTTAATATATTGGATTGTTATAAAAAGTATATGTATATTATAAAGAAAATGTGTGTGTGTGTGCGTCTGTTTGCCTGTGTGTGTGTGTCTGTGTGTGTGTTAGTTTATGACCTGTGTGTTCATATTTCTCGTGGGTATCCGATCGTCGTCTCGTTGAGGCGCGGGAGGGCCGCTCGCTAACACCGGCGGCTTTATGTCAGCGGGCGGAGGAAGCTCGACCTTAACATAAAATAAATATTATTATAAACTTTATTTCATACAAAATACAGTTCAATTAATAAACGAATTTATAATGGGTTAGATATTATACATACAATTTTAAGCCTTATCGCTATAAATATAAAGTCTTAATTTGTTTTATATGTTTTTCATATTCAAAGAATTGAAACTTATTGGGTTCGATGGATGTGCATTAAATTTTTATCTTTATTTGATGAGTGTTAAAGTTTAATTTAATTAAAACGTAAGATACATATAACTTGTTGACATTATGTTTTCATATGATATTAAACCTTATTTCTAAAGAATAAAGGTACTAATTTATTAGACTGTTAGAAAACTAAATGTACCTGCATATACTTTGTATTATTTTAATTGTATTAAATTTTCCTAGTAAAATTAAGTGTTTTATTATTATTAAAACTGACGTACATAATACATATATAGGTATTATTTATTCTTGTAAATAAATAATAGTCAGAGTATTTTCCAGAGTTTATAAGATTTGAAGGGATCACCTAGTATGGTTAAAAGTATAGTTTAACCTATTGGATTAGTTACATAAGTAGACCTATAGCAAAGTAATTACCATTGAATATTACTTCCATAATTATTAAAAAAAAAACTGCAATGGTTATAAATACTATATTTGGAATAGTAAGACTTTGTATACAAAAATCGAATTCTCTGTTTTCAATTACATATTCTGGATTCAAACAAAATGTATATCAATTTTGTTTTATAAAACATATTATTAAGCAAAAATAAATACATGACGGTTTTTATTGTTCGCTTAAATATATTACATACTAATTTCCCCCCGCGTCTTGGTCCGCTTTAATTTCGGCTTTAGTAATAATTAGGTATAACTAACCTGGCCACGTCTATTTCTCCCTAGAGGATATACATAATGATATTGGGATTTATTAAGTTTTTTCTTCTTCAATTAAACAGAATTAAATATCCTATATCCGTCTCCTGATTCTAAATAATCTCTCCACCAATTTTCAACTATATTATCCCTACAGCCGTTCTTGAGTTATACAGGGTGACTGGTGAATTACTATCAATATTTAAGGAGAATACTCGGTATATGATTCTCATTCGAATTATGTAAAAAAATAGGTACTTAACTTTTGACCACATTTCCGTATAAATAAATAAAGTGTGGACACGTTCCAAGTGTGGACGCATGCGGCGGCGTGCTGATACAACACCACGCCGCCGCACGCGTGTGTCGCTACCTCCAACCCCCGCCCCGTGGCTAATTAGTCGGGCGAGCGCCGCCGTAAGGTCTGTACGTCCGTCTTCCCGCGCACGCGCCTAGCGATCGATCTTACGCGTATACCTCCCGTACCTACTCCTGCTCAGAGCCTGGCCGCGGTACATCATTGCGCTTACACCCGCGACCTGGCCAGGCATCGGCTCTAGGGCCCCATCTGTGTTGGTCCGATGGCTCTTTGAGGCGCGCGCGGTACGCTACGCGCCGTACGCTCGGGTCTGGTTCTGATCGGGCGACGACGACGCGTATACCTAATCTGTCGTGTGTGCGTGTGACCCATTATTACTAATTAGTAATTAAGTATGGCTTATTAATACACAAATGCAGAATACTTGGACATGGTTCGTGCGTATGCGGGTGCAAATGATAGCTTGCCGGGCGCAATCAATTTGTACCTACCTACATAACTGTTTTGTGTCGATAACGCAGCTAGGGTGTCCACACGATGCGTAATTAATTACATAACTTTTGGTTAACTTTACTTAGAAGTTTATTAATATTTATGTTATATTAATTTTTATTTTGTTAATTCACCAGTCACCCTGTAAATAGTGTAACTAACACGACTTTCTTTTATATTTATAGATATATAATTCATTAAGCGTTACTTAGATACCATACAAGTTAATAGTGAGGAATTGTGATAAGTCTATTGGGATTCCGTACTAAAAGGGTATATGTATAAGTATATTACACAGAATCATCTATTTGTCGTTTAGTTCCCAGTCACAAGAAAAAAAATTGCTTTTTTAAAAGATCAAGTAGTTCTGTTTATTTTAAGTTAAACGAAAAATTAACCAATATAATACATTTTTGAATACATAAACGTAACTGATAATTTATTTTCTAAAATTATAATTCGTTTGTACCAAATTATTCATAATAAATCATAGATTTTGAACGAATTTCAGTTAAGATTTTTAACAACTTGAATAGAATTAATAGAACTTTATTTATTGTTAAAATTGAAATACGAAAATCAACAATGCTTACACAGTACACAAAGTTTGAATACTCACACTACCTACGGCGAGTTAACAGGTTCTTGTTCGTAAATTTTTCGTATAACAGTATTAAAGTAGTTAATTACTATTAAACAAGTGACGGCAAACGTTTCGTATGTAGTATGACAATGGAAACTTGTGCTAAACATTTAAATGAATAAGATTCGCGAAAATCTTGGATCTAATTTGTGCTAAACATATTGTTCTCACTAAAATATTTCTATAAACGCTTCCTTATTCAAAAATATTAAAATACACTGAAATTCTAAATCATATTTTTCTATGATTACAGACTTAGCAAATGAACCAAGTTACTTTTAACATTAAATTTCATAACAAAAAGTCACGTCATCATCTATATCACGAGTCAAAGGCTACATTTACTTTGTAAACATAATACATTTGTTATAATGTCGTTAATAAATACGATCGTGAACTCGGCGTAGTTTGTTTCATATCACTTATTTATTACTCTTGAGTCAAAATAATTGATTCGAATAACAAAAGAGAATCGGCCAAGTGCGAGTCGATTCTGTACTATTTTCATAGATTAAAATATTTTTGTATCTGTTATGTTATATTGATTGTTAAAGAATATAGTTTAATAAATAGTCTGTGAACATTTCAACTGTCTTACTAGCACGATTTATGCGAAAAAACCCTGTTGACAGTCGGACAGACAAACAGAAGGTCAAGCCTTAGATATAGAATCTCATAATACTAAAAAAATCTAAAACTTTTAATCGGTTACTTTAATATTGTATATTTTAAAACGATGTGTACTATATATTTATTTCTTTCCCCCTTATATAAAGCGCTACTGATAAAGCGTAACTTAATTACTAAAAAATAATTCATATTTAGATATTTATATGCTGACCTTATGACTTTGTTTTTTTTTTTTATAAATACTTGTTTATTATCAACAAAAATATCTGATTACTAAACTTACAATGAGAAATAGGTACAATTTTTTAAAGTTCTATTATGTTTTTGTTTTATATAACATGTAAATCAATATCATAATGCTTCAGCACAATCAAATTTTGGTAGATTTTTTTTACAATTTAAAAGTTACAACCTTAAAAATAATTATCAATATGTCATAATTGACAACCCTTTTTTTTTTTGATTACGCAGGGAAACTCTTTCTACGAGCCGTCCAACCGGCCTTGGTGGGGCCGGAAGGGATGTGTGAGACTCGATCTGGGCAGGCCCCTACTAAAACCAGTGCGAAAGCCATCGGCCGCTATGTTGGTGTATCCCGGATCATAATTGACAACCCTGACTCACCTTATGCGCGGGGGGCGGCAAGTGTGGAGGCGCGGGGGCTCCAGGGAACAGAACTCCAGCACCCAACAGCGCCCCTCCCACACCGTGTGGCAGCCCTGACGCGTGGATCTGTTGCTACCACACATCACAAGTTATGTTATGTTCTATACAACTTAGATCATAGTGACAACCCTGACGATATAATTATTTGCGCCAAAAAAACCATTATCTGATGCAGCTTATCGTATAATCGGCGCCATTTTTGGTGTTACACCCGAATGTATTATGACAGGTGATGTTTGAAAACTTAAAATAACATTTATGTTCAGTAACCAGTTCAACGAATTATATGATGACAAAAACAAAACCCTGGTGATATTTCATATGTATCCAGCTATTATTGCAATAGTTTTATATTTAACCATAATAAGTAACTAAATAACACAGAATTAAAAAGCAAACATTTCATAATGTCAACACTTAAATCGCAAAGAAATTTATGTGCATGTAAGCAACAAAACTACGTGTTACCAAATTAATTGTAATGTACAGTTAGTGACAATAAAAAAACATTAATCTGTTACATATTATGTGAACACCATTAACTCAGAATAAATGATAAATGAATGTGAAATTTTCCTTATATTAACATTGATGAGTGAATTCCGTTAAACAATGAGTGAAACACAAATATAAATCTATAGCAAAACAAATAAATCATGCACATAACGAGTTCATTCTATATCAATTTACTTTCCATTCTATAGAACATGAAAATAAAATAAATTAAAAAAATTATTAAAATAAAAATACAACAAAATCACATGAAGTTACCATCATTGATACAATAATAACACTTATAAGAACATTTTATATGTATGCAAAATTAGACCGCAGCTAATTATTTTAATTTACACCATCATTAACCTAAATGAGGGCCGGTGTTAATCACAAACAAAAATAAAATAAAATATACCAAGCACAACAATTGTTGTAACTTACAAGGAGTTGCTGGAGACCATGTTGTTGCTGTTGCTGCGGACAACATTAAATTAAACCATGCTAATTATTAATACTAGATGATCATTAAGTGCATGATTATATTATATACCTATATATGTATTCACATGATAATAACTTAAATGTATCTACTTCATCAGCATATCGTTGTTTAAGGGTCTACTTACCCCGATAATAGCATTAAGTTCAGACATAGTGACCTGCTTAGCTCTTTCCACGGCTGCCGCAACTTGCTGTTGATGTTCTTGAGCTAAGAACGGTAGAACTTGACCGATTATCGCGCTTAACCGCTTCGCTATCTCTGTCTGGAAAATTATATACATCAACCAACCATCAATATTGTAATAATTCTTGTATAAACATACATGTGTTTTATGTATGACTAATGTATTGAAACACACCTGTTTATGCATCTCCACATTTAGACCATATGACATTTCATAATACTGCAAATAGAAGAATAAAAATTTAATTACATATACCATAGAATAATTTTCCATTAATTACAATATATCTACCATCACATAATGTCTCTGCATTTCAGTCTTCTCACTGGCTAATTTTTCACATTCTAGTTTCAATCTAAAAAACAAAGCAGTTAGTTTAATCACAGCACTTGTATTTTATTTATTTGTTTGTAAACTTTTTTTGTTTACTAAATATAAAACGCAATTTTCAATGTCCTTACGAGTGATATTGTGCTTGTAAAAAGTTAAACTCTTCCTTAATACGTTCTAAAGTATCTGCTATCGTAAACTTAATAGGTCCAGTCGCGGGCTGCGGCCCCTGTAACATAATAAGATATATTCTTTATGATACGAAGCCAATTTTAATTTTACAAACCTGATAATCACGTAAATAACTACGAACCCTAACAGCAGCAGCGGGGTGCCGCGTCGGCGTCGGATACATTCTGTCACTCAACTAAACAAAGTTTTATATTCACAATCAAATATTATTTTCTTTTGATCCGAATAAAACTAACATTAAAGGCACCATTTCTTACTCCTCAGCCTTTGCTATAAAACACTACGCACGAAAGACCCGCGGCAAGGCGCTAAAGACAATGATATGCACAAACTTTGTCCCAAAACTTTTAAATTATCAGTCATTATCTTGATACACACAACTATGAACTCAATTTCTAACTTCTCTTTGAATTTCTACAGTATATTTTTACAAAATAACTGTAACAATTAATAAGCAACAGTTAGTATCTCGTAAGATTTAACCATCAATCCACGCCGCAATTTTTGTTGTCTGTCAAGTCACATCCATGAAACATCCATCATTCATTCACCCGAGGTAGCAAATATTTCAAATGTAATAAATTAAGAAACCAAAATATAATTCATTTATAAAAATACAAATGTTATTTTTCTTATTTATTAAATTAAGCGAATGAGAGATATTATAATTAAAATTAAGGAAAAATGAAATAAATGACGTCAGAAACTTGTCACACCGGCACATAAAATTCTAAATAATTTGTAAATATTTACTTCTATACAATATATCACAATACACAATAAAAATGTATTTTTTATAGGTTTTGATGTATATTAATGTTATACAAATATTATTTAATTTGCCTATAACTAGGTACCTGAGGTTACTATAAGCTTGGCTGTCATTTTGACATATCTGACACTTTTAAATATTGTCTATAGTCACAGCCACATTTTTGCCTTTGGAATTCTTATGAAAGCAGATTGTGATTGCCCTGCGACTGCAGCTGTTCGATAGCGATAAGCAAGCGAGAGTGCAGTGACGGAGTGTTTTGAAAATATATATTGTGGTTGCTTTGTTACACACGTGAAACAGTGCATTTTCAAATGATTATTCTTAGAAGAAAGTGCTATTCTTGAAGTGTTTTTCGATAATTGCAAGTTCCTACGTCGTAAGAAAAACCATAATGGATTTCAAAACAGCCGCTTATCACATTTTCAACTCTGCACGAAATGGAAATCTAACACGATTAAAAGTAAGTAGAACGAGCTTATTGTACTGATATATCGAAATAAGCTGTGTTATCTATAGACTGCTATAGATTTAAATTGACTTGTAATTACTTGAATGTTTTTTCCGTTATGAAGTGTACATATTAACAGTTACATCCACGTTTGATTACAATCTCAAGTGTTCTGCATTCGAAACACGTTATAAATAGATCTTTTAATGATTCAGATATTTTCAAAACTTGTTCTTCATTATATATTCTCGATCTTATAACTAACAAAAAACTGTTTAACGAAAATAAATATTTTATTAGTCTTGACTTTAGAACATTTTTTATATTAATATTTGGTCATAGATATTTTTTTGCAAGCTGTTAAATATGTCTGGAATGTTTAGTATATAATTTTAGACTTCCAAATAGTCTTGTTTATAAGCTGCTGTTATTTATTATTTTCATTAACATTGAGTATGTGAACTATTTATCACTTGAATGTTACTTATCAGAAAATAAAATTATACATTTTTAAACAAAATCTTATCAGCCTTTATAATTGAGGATAAATTAAATATTATTGAGTATGAAAAACAAAATGTTTAAAAACATGTTTATACTTAAATATATTTTCTACAATAATCAGCAACCATAAAAAATCTATTCTCTATTAAATGAATTTATATTTATTTGATTTGTAAATATATTCATTAGTGTGCTATATATATAAAAAAAGTTCTTATTTCATCCATTAAGTCAAGTTTTTGAATGGCATCATTAAGCTGACAAATGACAATGCTTCTATTTTCCTTGTCTTTTTATATTATCTGTAATTAGCCCACTGCTAGATATGACCTCTCCCACATCATTCCTCTTAAATCTTATTATACTATATTCTCTTTTATAATCTTCTCATTTCTTATATAAACTATCATTTTCATCTTGAAACAGTAGTTAATTAATGAATTACCTTATTATTATTCAAACTTATAGGATACTGATGTTAATTTATAAATGCTATCCCAATTCATTGTTGTCATTGACACTCATACAAATGTTTAATATGTATATATTTATAAATATATAAATTTAATTGTTAAAATATTCTGTTCTATTTATATATTACATAGTAAATAGTTTATAAAGGACATTACAACTATTATAATTCATTTGTTTCTAACACTGCCTTCCATGAAAATTATTGTGTATAAGTGGAATAAAGTATCATGTGGGTCATGGAAAACTAATATTGTATTAAATATTGAAACATTTAATTTAATTCAAAAGCAATTATTTAAATAATAATATAATTTCATTCAAATACTTATATTTCAAGTGTACCTGGAAAAAAAAGTACAAAAATTTTAATCATAAGATGATCAAGAAGGATGCATTATGCAAAACTAACTTATAATTATTTTATTTTTAAATTAATAATTAATTGATTAAAGCCCAAGAAAAATGGAAATTTGTATTTAAAAATTAATAATAATGCTTAAAGTTTGCACTCCTCATTATAACTAACATTAAAGCCAATAATTTAAGTCAAAACAAAGGCTTTGCAGTAAGCACTTGTATGTTGACTAATAGCTAAAGTTTTATTCTAATAAATAAACTTACTTAAATAACTTTTGTTAAGACACAGAAAACATAGGATTTTTTACTGTTCCGATTCATAGCTCCTTTGTTGTAATATCAATTGCAAGACTAAAATTAACAGTTCTCATCTATATGTTGTTTAAATATTATCTAAACCTAAAATTATTATTGTATGTGATAATTGAATAAATTCTCTTTCATTTAACATTTTGTTTATGTTTAAGATACTTTTTTCCTTATCTTTATTTGACCAATTATCTAAAGAAAAATAATATAATTTATATCTCCAAATATATTATACCTTTTCTATTGATATATTGTAATTATATGTATATATGATACAAAAATAAATACATGCTGGGGGAAAGTAGGTAGTGCATTGACCTTATTTGATTTGTTTACAAATGTCTTTTGAGTGGGTGGTTAGTATGAAGAGAAATCGGCCCAGCTCATGAGTCAAACCAATTAAATTGGTTTTGTAGGTGATGTACTGCTTTATATTCTAATGAGTTGAGTTATATGTTATAAATGTGTATTATACAAAATTACACACACACAAATATATATACATATATATATATATATATATATATATATATATATATATATATATATATATATATATATATATTTTTTGTGTGTCTGTGTCTGTGTGTGTGTAAAGCCTTTAACATTGTGTATACTTCTTAATTAATTGTTTTGATATTTTTAACTGGCAACACTTCATTGTTCAATATAATCTTTTGTTATGTCTGAGATTTTTATATAACTATTAAGAACACCCGATTTTACTTTCACAAAAATATTTTTTACTAAATCTAGATCTTAAAATACTCAAATATGTGGTCCCAAATATTCTTCAACCCAAATGGGTAAATACTTTACCCATTTGGGTAATTTATTTTACTTTAAAGTAAATACTTTAATCGCAAAAGTTATGATAATTTTAAAGATAGTAATACCATCTAGTTTTTTATACCAGTAATTAAAATCATTTAATAGTTTGATATTAATGTAAAGGAACTTTTTTTATGACTAGTATGAACTTGTATCGTCAAAAGTAACAGTTTTTTTTTATTTCCACATGCAATTATAGGAATATATATGTGTGTATGGTCATATGAATGAAAAATGAAAACGACTGTGTTTAAGTTCACGACGAAAACTCATGATAAGAATACAGTTTTAAAACCTCTATGAATATATATGAAGAATATCTTTCATTGAAGACTGTTCTTCTGTCTATTTAATATTTACATAATTACAATAAAGTATGGGATGTTTAAAACAATATAACAATCTGAATTTCTTGGACTAGTACTTCCATAGAACGATTTGTTCATGTTAAAAAAAAATTTAGAGAGAATTTATTTTGTGAGCTTAATTAATACAATCATATATCAATTAAGAATTCTAAGAGTTTAATTTCAATAAATTAACTCGTATTTTTTTAGTTCAGTAAAACGCTTATAAAAATTCTAAATTAATTTCTAATAATAATATAGGTATGTACATTTGGAATAGTCTCCCGGGTAAACTGTTTTTTATGTTATATTGAATAAATCATATAAATACCATTTATATCAGGCAAAGTTATCGAAAAAAGTTATACAAAAAATATCAGTTTGAATAGGTAGATAATAAATGTCAATAAAATATTGCCGCGATAACTTCTATATTTATTTCAGATTCCCAAAAAAATCTTGAAGTACGGTTAAAAATAAATTATATATTTCCTGCTCGTAATGTTTGCTCTACTGAAGAGACGTTGGCAATAAATTGAATATTTCATCCTCTAGAACAAAATGAGCATCAAATCAGTCTGATTTAACATAGAAATAGGCTTAAAATATTATAAAACAGTTAAAAGTCCTTTAAAATCTACCAACTATCTTCAAATTTTGGTCGCAACAACGCTGTAATGAAAACATTATTTAAATTTAAAACAAAATCTAATAATATTTTAGGTCGAACGAAACCGTAGATCAATAGTATGTACACATGTATGTATTTATGGTTTCTCTATTAGAAGAAAGAGAGAAAGATCATATGAATTATAAAACCAACCAAATTAAGTAGAACTGTCGCATCTTAACAAATAAGTCATTAATTATGTACAGCAAGTACAAAATAACAGCTCAAGAGTTCAGTATCAGAATTAGAGCGAGTCTCATCGCTTTTCTATATAGTTTTTTTTTGTCGCGAGTCTCTTTGTCCGAGCGTGAGTCACTCACAGAAGGTTTTTGCTCGATATATTTCCTACTAAGGTCTTTGTTCACAACAGAACTCTTGTCCCCTCCATTGGATGTCTGCCAATAAAATGCCCCAAACGTCTGATCTTCGTTGTTAAACTTCCGCGTCA